TCAGCCGTCTTGGGCTCAGTGGGACTCGCTGAGAGCTCTGCCGGTTTCGCGAAGGCCGTAATCATACTCTGCTTCTTGAGACTAGCGGTCGAAGCAGTTACAACGGGTTTCTTATAGTAAGCTTCTAAAGCCCGCACAAGCTCCGCCTTTTCCCGCAGCGTCAATATGGTCTTAATGGAAGAATTCACTGCCACGCCTTCAATAAAACTCAAGGCATCCTGCTTCACTGTCGTTACGCTTAGCTCCCCTAAACGCCGTAGGATCTTCGACACGAGCCCAACCAAGGTTGTTGCTAAGTATTCATCCTTCAGTCGCAGCCACTTCACCATTGCGCTCATTGTGGTGGTCGCTGATTTGAGAAAGTTTTCACGCGCAGAAGTTTCCTGGTTTGGGTCCGCATCAACGACAGCGCTGAGGAAAACGCCGTATTGTCCGAAGAGAAGATCGGCAAACTGGATACTGTCGCGACAGAACTCCAGCATCACAGATTTGTCGTTCCCTCTCAGGTGCCAAGACTCCGTCTCGTCGAATATCGTTGTTAGGGATTGCCACAGATACTCCCAGAGTTTCTGAAGGGAAAGCACCTCCCTGCGATCAGCAAGCTTGCGTGTCCTGAGCATACCAGTCTGCGTGTCACAAAGAATATCCACAATGTCTGTTCCCGTGTGTAACATCCTCGGAGCAGAAGCAAATGTTTTCATGTTCGAGATTCGTCGGAAAGACCAGCTCAATCCGTACATGGTAGTGATGAAAAAAGATTGCAGTAAATGTGAGATTGCGTCCCTTCGAGCGGATTGGCCGCTGACGTTTTTGATCAGATCCACGGCAGCTTGGTAGGTGTTAAGATCAGCAGCAAAAAGAGCAGAGATCAAAGCACTGCTAGTATCTTGACTTTTGAACAGCTCATCAAGATGCTCTGGCTTGAAATCGGCAAGACGCTCAATAATTTGGCAGGAAAGATGAGTAAGGTGGCCATAAATAACATTGAAGTGCGTCTTTTCTTGGCTGGATTCGCCTTTTGTGGGAAACTTCTCTAACCCGACGAGAGGTAATATTCCCAGAAGGGCGGATGTCGAGAGGGCCAAGTTATCTTCATGCAGATGCTTGACAACCGCATCCCAGATGGTAGCAGAATACGTACTCACACCATGTTGGAGGGTGTTGTGTCGAAGGATGGCCTCGTAATCACTCTTGAGTGATTGACATTCGAGCGCAAGTGTGTTGCGGATGACATCCATACACAGAGATGATATCTCACGCTGGCGACCCTGCTCAACTGCAAACTCCGGAGGCTTGAGGATGGTTTCAATATTCGCGCCTACAACGCCTAGTGTTTCCGAAAGCACGATACGGGCCACGGAGCCTCTTGAGGACTCATGGTCGGTAAAGCTCCGGAGAGTATTGAGCAAAATCATTAGTCCGGTATGGAAGCAATGATAACGCGCAAGATTCGGAAACCGCACATCTTGGAATCGATCAAGAAGCTGATAGACAAGTGATCGGCAGGCTGAAGGTTGGTGTGCCCCTTTCAGCGATGACATAAATGGACTGGTCCATGACAGCATATCCTTCATGGCAGATTTCTCATACGGCTCGCCCTCGGTAGCTTGCATCAGAAATGCATCCAGCTGGGGGTTATAAAACACAAGCTCGATGATGGCCTGTGGAGATATTGTCTGCATAGCATCCCAGAAATCCCCCGGGGCCTTTTCCAAGAAAATCTGGATTGTGTTAAGGAGGAAGCGTAGCCCGGGAGATTGTATGCCAAGGTGGTCCACAGAAAGACGGCAGGGATCGATTTCAAGGGCTCGCAAATGATGTGTAATCTGATCCTTGTCCAGTCTTCTTACTACAAGCTGCATCCCACGCCATAGCCGCTGGATGACGGTTATCTGGGCTGGCTGCTGAGATGCCGTTCTTAGCGCATCAAGAAGCCCCTCTTTCACTGCCCAGTCAAACTCTATAGTAGTCGGCGGCCGAGCGTAACGCATCCAGGAGTGAATAGCCCAGAAGCTGCGGTTTTGATTCGGGTCGAACAGGAAACGAGTGACGGCGGGAATGTAATCGGAGACTTTCAGGCTGCGCTTCGTCTGTATTAACCTGAACGGCTCATCAAAATACTGCTGCAGAAGACTGTCGTTACGAAGCATAGCATCACAGCTCAAAGTCTCGAATATCGATAGCAGAGATGCCCGGTCCAGCACGTGAAGCCCAACCTCCTGGGGTGGGACCTCTTTTAACTTGGCTGTTGCGGTTGTTAGATTCTTCGTGATCCGTTTGATGTCGCACTCGTCAAGCATCCGAGAGAACTTCTCGATGTCCTCGTCATCGTAGTTTTCCTTGAGCTGCTCCATGAGCCATATCTTCCCCGTGTAGTATTGTTTGATGCAGAGGTCGCATTTCTCGAGCGAGTCGTCCAATTTCCGCCAGATCCAGGTCTGCAACTCCTCCACGCCCTCCTGGTTATATGCCAAAATCCGCATGCAGGATAGAAATTTCTCCTTCCGACCGTTGGCTTCCGCGACTAACTCCGCAACCGATTTCCCCGATTCATCGACTTGGGTAACGTCATCATATCGTGCGTGGTCATCGTCATGTTGTCGGGGACATAAGATGTGAACACTGTCGGGGAGAGACTGTAGCTCTCTACTCACATATAAGTTGTCAGCAATTCGCTGGGGTACGGCAGAAGGGATCCACCCGGTCACTCACCCAACAATATCCATAAACTCCATGGTTGCGAGCGATCTAGGCTACAGCCAGCACATTCCCCAGATTAGGAGTACAGTATGGTACAGGAAGAAAGCGCGCGTCCAGCAGGGTTCCTAAAAATGAACAGAGAAGAATACCATCCCAGAGTTGCCTGCTATACGACCATTGTTACTTGTGGCAACTGAGCACCTGGAAGATTCGGACAGCTGTGATACTTCACCACACACAGCAAGCTCATCTGTGGGTGGGAGAAATTTGCAAGGGGTGGATTGAACAGAAGAGCGGGTCCACCCAGTGATGTGAAGGAAGGATGTTAACAACACTCCCCAAGCTCCGAGTGACGAAGACACCAGGAGGCCAGGAGGGGGGAAGTGAAGTGAATGGCGAAGTGCAGCAGCAGGCAGGTTGGGGAATAATACTTCGGTCCAAACTAATAACGGAGCCCATCGGCGCAATCCCTTCTGCCGCTGTTATTGGTAGCCACGCAAGGCGGTGGGCAGTGCGGATCCTCCACTTTACGCGCCTAGACGCGCCTCGAGTCGGCGGGCTTGGCGAGCTTCAATCGACCCCTCAGATGGCACAATCTGTTGAAGTCCCCTTCCAGGTAAACATCCTCTAAGGTGTGTTGCGCGTGCATTCTCTGGCAATAACTCCAGTGACATCCCCCTATCCCGATCCAGTCAATTGGTGCCGAACCATGTTGAGTCCGAAGCCGAGAGCCGAAGTCACAAATATGTATACACCTACAATATCAGGTCCTGCGCCAACATGGAATAGAAACTCAATCTTGAAGAAGAAGTCACCTTAAGAAGTCCCGATCGTATCAAGTACTGATACCTTTGTTCTTTTCTTATCTCTTATTTCCTCGTTCAAAAGCCAAGGGAATGCAAAACTACACTATCATGCAAAAACAGCAAGATAGTACAGACGAGGCCAACCTCGAACCACCAGGGGAACGGCCAACGCATTCGGTGTCTTCCAAACCTACTACGAAGTTGGACTACACAAGAATCAGTCAAGCTCCAACATCTCCTGGATTAGAGCGACACAGGTATTTCCATTACTACCTATTAGTATTATTACAGGTCTACTATATAGATCTTGATAATAGGTGTTTATATATTCCTTTGGTAGTGATTATTTATTAATACTTCTTATCTTGCAGAGCCATCGCTATATTTATTGCTATTGTAGAAAGCAGTTTCGGAGGAGGAGGATGAGAGCGAGAGAGTGGTTTTGTCGTATTCGTATTTGGAGATGTTGAACACGGTTGATTGGGTGGCTTGGGATGGGGATGGAGGTGATGAGGGGGTCTGATTAATTGATTGGTTGGTTGATTAAATTGAGTGATTCAAAGGGTCGTCTGTGGTCTGTTCATTGTCTTCCCCAATGAAAGAAACATAACAGATGGCTAGGAACGAACTATAACTCCAACCTAGCCGAGCCTTAATTCGAAGGTGACCTTGATGTCAGGGTCAAATCCATCCATCCATAAACCCCTGAGTATACAACACGCCCACGAATAAATGCCATGGAACCCATCCCTACACCAACCATTCTCTTTCACCAGGACACACATACTATACTATAATTGGATACGTATACGTATACATTGTATTGATCTTTCAACATGGCGTCCACATCGACTAGTCCGCGGAACCCATTTCGCTCTTCTCAGTAGCAGTAGCAGTAGAATACATGAAACCCGCCCACAACCTCCGACTCATCCACGCCACATGCCACATATGACGATTCAATTCATTCCCACGTGCCGGCTTGCTTTGAAAGTACTACCATTCAACAGAAAAAAAAACATACGTGGAAAATGCCTGCTTGAACTTGAAGAAAAAAAAAGAAAGAGAGGAAGAGTATCTCAAGTGAATGCGCATTTGGGGTGCAAGATTTTGTACAAGAATTGGAATGAAAAATAAAGAGGGAAAGTTATCAGAACCGGTCAGGCGTGCCATCAATCAAAGTGGCCTTCGAGAAAACAAGAGGGAAGGGACCAAGATAGGTAGGCCCCAGGCGCTGAGGGAAACAGCAAACAGGAGGGGAAAAAAACAGAACAAACACAATTGCGCCAAACCGCCAACCAATTCTGTGTGCCTAACGCCTTCTATCGGGGAATATGGGGAATTTGCTCGTTAGACAGAAATGAGGAACAGATTGAGTTGCATGGAAAAACCCAGACAAGGAGTCATCAAGGAAAAGAGGGATGGTAAAGAAGGTTGGGAAAAAGAAAGGCATGGAAGAGGTCAGAATATGTACTGTCTAAGATATGAGACGGGTTATATGGCATGGAATGGAGGGTCGTGAGGGCTCTTCAGAGGACTGTGCGGTTCCTGGACACCGGCGAATGAGGACTCTCTGGTCAGCATGTCGGTTGAGGCAAACTCCTGGGCCGCCATGAAATTGGGTTGCACTATTTCAAACGAGTGCCGCGTTTGCTCGTTCGATTGGACATAATCCACTGGCTGCGGATGAGGAAGTCGTGTCGTGTCGAGGCTAGACGCGTAAGTTGTTCCGTTACTTCCATTTTTGCTCCGCGGTCGGTGGGTATGTATTGTCGGAGCAAACGAAGGAGAGTACACCCGCTGTTCGTCTGAGAATGGATCACGCTTCATTGTGGGCTGGATAGGCTTCACAAAGTCTGAAGAAGTCGACGATTCGTCACTGAAGGCTTGAGATGCCGCTTTTGCGGCTGCCTTCGGCGGAACGGACCCTTCATACTGCTCAAGGTATTTGAAGTCGCCTTTCGAGACCTGCTCGCGAATGATATCCACATCAAGAGGAAAGAAAACCTTTTGGAACGCCTTGACTGTAAACCTCGGAAGAAGGCATATCGTGACTGTCATCAATAGAACCACCCAAAAGGCCAGAGCACTAAAAACTTGAGCACCGGCATTGTAGAAGGTGGTTGAAGCTTGAATTGAAGAGTAGATGCCGGTCCAAAGGAAGATAAGAAGGGAGCTGACGACATTAATTAGGACGGTCAACCAGTCCCAACGAAAGCAATTGATCAGAATGTAGGTGTTGCTCGCAAGAACTGCGCTACAGCCAACGAGGACGCCCATTCGGGTTCGGTCATTGATGTTCAACCCACTCGAGTGCACGAACGTTGCCGGACTGTACAAAAGGTACGGCATGAAGAAGCAAATGACCGACTGGTAAAAGCCATCGAGCATGTATAGCCTGTCGAGGTTAGCTTATGCAACTTTCGGGATAAAGAGCCTGTGCCATACCAGAACTTGAGTTGTGACCATTCCTTCTGCTCGATTCCTCTCATATACAGCTGGGGCACGGCTAATGCGACCTTGTCCTCGACATCCTGATCGAAAATACCCATCAGGATAACGGGCAACGATGTGAATGCAACGTTGACCAAAACAATGTAGGTATAGTCGAAAAGGTAAGAGCCATCGAATCCATTGTAGAATGAGTACCAAAAGAGAGCAAGCGTCCACACCAAATTCTTTCAGCTTGTCAGTAAACGATCACATGCCAAGAGGATAGTAAATTACCTTATAGAAGAAGTTTGCAGTCATTTCGGCCATACGCCGGTAGGAATACCTTCCATGAACAAGAACAAGTCGCTGCAAAAATCGGAATTGCCCGATGGCATAGTCAGAAGACATAGCTGCTTGCCCACCTTCTTCACCAAGGATACCAACACCAACATCAGCCTCCTGGATCATGGCAACATCATTGGCACCGTCACCGATAGAAAGGGCCATGATATTAAGACCGTTCTTCACCATTCGCACGACGGCTGCTTTTTGCGCGGGGCTGACTCGACAGCACAGAACAGACTTGCACTGTTTGCACAAAAGAAGGAACCTCTGCTTCAAATCATCTCCAAGCATCAACTTAAGAGTCTCGCCATCAATGACAACGGCATGTGTTGGTGCTGGCGGTGAATGATCTTGACGAGCAGCAAGGAGCTCTTCATCTGACCCGGTAAGTCCAAAGCGACGAAGCTGATTATCAAGCTCCTGCGATGCGCGTTGTGCCTGATCAGTAGGTATGTTGAAGACGATCAGCTCCATTTCATTATCCAGGAGATTGCATGAGAAACCGATGTTGATGGCAGTCTCAACTTTGTCACCAGTGAGAACCCATAGCTTGATGCCTGCATCTGCTAGCAAAGAAATTGTATCCGGGACACCATCTTGCAGTCTGTCCTCAATTGCCGTACCACCGATCAGCATAAGATCCTGCTCTATATCACTCGCCACTTGCTCGAGCTTCTCTTCACGTTCTGTAAGTGCTGCTGCTGCCAGATCATGTTCCTTGCTCCAGGCGCGATACTCCTCTTCACTAAGCTCTCGTTCTGCGATGCACAATGTCCGCAGACCTTCATTGGCATAGATCTCCAAGTGTTCGGCCGTTTTCTTGCGAAGCTCTTGCTGCTTGCCTGGGGCCAGGCGCGAATAGATAATACTATCAGCACCCTTGCAAAAGAGCCGGATACTGCCATCAGGCATGCGGATGATTGCACTCATTCGCTTTCTTGTTGAATTGAATTCCAAGGTATTAAGAACCGTGTACGTCCTCTCTTCACCCAAGACGTTCACAATGAGGTCATCGTTCGATCGCCCCAGAAGAGTGAAACCACAGTCTTTGGCCGTACTTACTAGAGCAGCCTCATCGGGCGACTGTGCCTGGAATTCAATTTGCGGAGGATCACCGGGCGTATGCTCAGTGATAACCGTATGACATACCGCAAGAGCGACCATGAACTGTTCTGTGATCTTTCGTTGTTTTTCTCCGGATCGGCCGCCCAAATCTGCAACGAATTTTGGCGCCACAAAGGTCAAGGCATCCTCGCGTAGGTAGGGATTGTCATACATTTCGCGAAGCAGGTCGACCATCTCGGCGGTATCTGCCGCAAGCTTTTCCCGGGCCCTGGCGGCTTCGGCATCAGCGTCGCCTCCTTCTCGCCGGACAATGCCAATCTGGGCTTCTGTGAACGCCTCGCCGTATGAGACTCCGTTAATGGTACACTTTTTGAAATCCATGACGTTTTGGGTTAGCGTGCCGGTTTTGTCCGAAAAGATGTATTCGATTTGACCGACATCATCGGAAATATTCCATGACTTCGGTATGCATGACATCCCCAGCTTGTCGTAATACATGAACACATCACTGTGGATAAACACAGCTTGGATCGTGCGAACAATCTCGAGGGAGATGTAGAGCGAAATGGGGACCAAGTTTTGGAATAGAATGACGGCAACCCAAAACGTGATAAGACCGGTGACTGCAGGAGTACTTCCGTAGGACCCATAGTCAAAGTAGTCCAAGGACGCGTTAGGTGAGCCCCAAATAATCCCGTTACCAATACCACAGATAAGACACATGATGAATAGAAGGATGAAGTTGTAGATGACGTTCCAATTCAAATCCTTGGCGAGCCTTGGCTTTTTTGAGGGAGTCTCGCCCGAGTTCAGCATCACTTTGGTGTCCTCTCCAGTGAAGACAACAACAGCCAACGCCCATTCGGTATTGCGGAGAAAGCATCCACGCAGGAGCATATTGTTGATTGTGATCGGTTCGACCATTTCCCTACGAGGGGCATCTGGGTAATCCGGGTCTCGCTGGTCCCAACGCAGGGCTCCGTTGTAGGCATACAGATTGGCATGCGGGGCCTCACTATCGATCACGAATTCTGCTTTCTCACAATCCCTGGCATGCCTGGCCTGACGACCACAGTTGAGAGCCTGTCGGACTTTCAGGTTTGTTTCTCCGTCCAAACTCTTCGTTTCGACGTAACACGCGCCATCCTGGTCGGAAGTCGACAATAATATGACATCGGCTGGGACCTGATCTCCATTGTATAATCGAACAAAGTCTCCGACCTGAATGTTCTTCCAGAAGTCGCGCTTGAACCTAGCTTTGCCGAGCGTTTGTTTTGACATGTCCACCACGCTGCCGCCTTTCCGTGGGGGGTTAGCGGAGCCAGCTGGTGTAGCTATGCTATCCTGGGCAGACTTGCCCGGATGCAAGAATTGGCTATCATCTGCGGTTGGGAGTGGCCAGTCCGGGCGCGCCTCTGGTGTCGGTGATGAAACAGGAGTCATCTGGATAGCGTCTTCTTCGTCGCGTTCGGAGGACATCGATCCGCGCGGGGACACCGTCGTCATAAAGGTCAGTCGTCGGTTGTCTTTCATTTGTTGTTGGGATGCACTTTTATTCTGGAAAAGGCCCTTCAAGGCCCGGTATGTGTAAACGGTCGCCCGGGTGGACGCTTTTTTGATACGACGCCACATAGAGACATGGTCCTCGGTCGAATTCACGTTGCTCCAATCAACCAATCGATATACCGGCGAATTGTTAAGCTCATTGTCGAGGACTGTGCGTCGGAAGTCTTCGATGGCATCTTTGATGGAGGTGAGTACAACGATGACGACTAAGGGAACGGTATTAAGGGCAGGGCTATCGACACCGAAGATCGAGAAAAACTAGACAAAGTAATGAGCTTCGGGCCCTCCACATCGCGGTTCAAGGGAGAGGGCATACACTGAGGATGATGATGAAGAGGAAATAGATATTCGCAATGTTCTGGAATTGAAACCAAATGTTTTTGGGGATGAAAGACAACGCTGTGTATTTTGCTGTTCGAATCTTGTTCCTTGGGTATGCTGCTTTTAGATGGCCATCTTCGTCTCGTTCGCTTTCTGGGATCGGGATATTGAAGTAGACTCTTCGACTGTTCGACCCCGGAGGGGTTTCCGTGGTTGATTGCTCTGTAGGAGGGGATTCAATCGACGTGGGGGAGGTCGTCGCAGCCAATTTCTTCTCCTCTTTCCCATCTGAGTTTTTATGCAAGCGATCCATGATGGAGACACGCTTTCGCATGCCGCCTGGGCCGGCTTTCCGTTGGGTTGCCCATCGTTGACGCTTCGTCGGCTTCGAGACGTTGCTGCTGACTTCCCGAACCTCGGGTCCAGACTCATTGAACTCTGCGCCCAAGTCGATCGAAGCCATTTAGGCTGCTGTCGGCCCTGACAAGGGCATAAAACGGGAAAGGTGTTGTCTCAATCGGCGAAAGGAGAGCATCCGCACCGGGGCTGGTCCTCAGTAGCGCAGCCAGCTCGCGGATTGACGTTGTTCTTCCGGGACGGAGGGGGGGTATCGAGTGTATGGAGTCGAATGCGGGAGGAATCAAGGGGGTTGGTATATACAGAATCGGGCGATTGGAAAGGGTGCGATCTATTCTGGTAAGGCGCTTAAGCACGGCGAGGTGGAATGAGAAGGAATGGGGGTGTCAATAACACCAAGGGACGCCAAACACACGGCAGTCAGGAAGGCGAAACGAGCGGAGGGGAAGAAAGATCGAGGGTTACTGGGGATGTCTAGACATCCGTATGCCATGAACGAAAGAATGTTGAAGGCAAAGAAGACAGAAAATCACGAACTCAAGAACTCGCGAACCCAAGCACAAGAGGAACCGGTCCTTCAGAGGCAAGAGTAAGAGAGAGGCTTAAGGACAGCGTCGGGTTTCTTGGAGAGAGCGAGCGAGCGAGTGAGCGAGCGAGCAGCAGCCAGCCAGCCAGCCAAAGAGAGAGCCAGCCAGCGGCGGCCAGCCAGCGAGCCGACAATCCCTCCTGGAGGCCCCGGCAAAATACCAGGACAATACGCAAATGCCTCCGCCATGGGGGCAGCCCGCCTCGGAGTTCGTCAGCGCCGTACGGTATCTAACGTTTCCCGAGCGCCGGGGCGTAAGTTTTCAAAGAATCTAGAATCGCCAATCAGATGGCCGTCCTCCTCACCGTTTCATCTACATAAGATCCAGGCTGCATCAACTACTCCGCCCCTGCGACAGGATTACTTACAGAATTTACACTCGGTACCTGGCAGATGATGTCCCCTCTCCTCATCCTCTCAGCGGTACTGTCTGTGTATGCAGAGCAGGCAGGTGCCTGACTATAGGCGCCAAAATAATGACCATCTAGTTGACTACCTACTTACTTTTTCATCCGCTGACAAACCAAGGTAACTTTCTCGACTATCGAAAAGTCACTTTTTGCATGCGATTCGATTCGGAAGTTAAGCTACTGCTCAGAGCCGAAATGGACCATTGCCAAGTACTATCTCGGTACGACTATCTGTGTGGAATCTCCGACTGGCCAGCCTCGCCCTAGACTGCACAGGGAACGAGGGATACACTCCGTACTATAGGTACTACTATGTTGTAGCGCGCAGATCTGCTTGGTTGCTGAATTCACATCGAAGGCTTCTGGATGCCGGAGCCCCCTTCAACCCCAGTCTGAACAACGGAGATATCGGCCCTTCATGACCTAGATCGGTCGGCTTCCGGAAACAATCCTGATGTCTAGAATTATGATTATGATTACTGATGGCCTGCTAATAATCATTATGATTAATATTGAAGCCCTGATGCCTACCTGCGCCTTCATTTCAATCAAAGAGTTCTCCGCTTGTGCGCCAATCGGATGCCATGGCAAATAATGGCATACCCAAGTGCTTCTCTGGCATGTCATGGAGCTGATCTCCCGCCACGCCAACAACAATGATGGCTCGCATCCCTCGCCTAAGGAACAACTGCTGGAACGCAAACCTGCGTCATGCATAGCGGTCGACATTGGAGACGTGGAATTTTTCAGGGCATCGATAGATATATACATCAAGATCCCAACGATTGGCCGTCTCCCTGATGAACAAGAGCTTATTTCCCTGTTGGGCTTCTACTATGTATCTGCCCTGTACGAAGTATCCTTGGAACTTGAGAGAGAGAGAAGGGGGGCGGGAATCTGAATCTTGGTCGGAGGGTCGGGATACAGAGCCTGAAACAGACTAACAGCCGTCCGGGACGGCACATGCTCTGATGCCACCCATGGATACTGGATAGTGGATAGTGGGACTACTGCTACGATGGTCCAGGTCCACACCTTACTTACGGAGCGCGGAGACTCGGAGGTACCGCAGAAATTCCCGTGCTAACTGCATCCATATTAAGGCAACGGTGTTTACTACTTTTCTACACTTATGACTCTAGAAATGTACTCCGTACATGGACTGTGCATGGTCTAAGCTGCAGAGGTCTTCACAAGGCCGGATATAAAAGCATCCGCTTCCAGAACCGGGTTGCCCGGATGGGTTGCGGCTTGATTTGTTTGTTCTCTGTTCCCCCCCCTTAACGCTCTTCGTGATGATGACCTTCTCCTTTTCCAGTCTTGGCTGCTGGGTTTCCCTGTTAGTGGCTAGCCCAGGCTTCCTAATGTGGGTTGGCGCGGTCCCATACCCATTGCGCGTAGTCCCCTGCTATCTTTGCTCTTTCCGGCGGCTAGCAGAAGATCACTCGAAACTGTTTCAACTTTCAAGGAACCTGATTCAATCTCCCATCATATCTAACGCCTGACGGTCTGACGTCCAATCTCCATGCAGTGGGCGACTGAACGCGGTGGCGGAACGCCCTCTTGCTCTATCAACATGAGACCCTCTCCGGTTTTTAATTTAGATTTATGAACATCCCCATACAAACTTCAAACCATCCGATGTTTGCCCCCTAGACCGAATGCATACTTTCGTCGAGGCGGAGTTGGGGGTTTTGTTACGTACCTCCGTCCAAGCTCGGCTAAATTTACCCTCACATTTGGTAATACCAGATGACGGGCGAATTTGCAATACGGCCTGCCTCTCCACCTTACCAACTGGTACTATTTCATCATGGGTGGAGGGACTTCGGGAGAGGCTCTGGGTCTATCTACTCGATTGCGAACAGATGGTTTGGTTCTTTGGGAACCAATACAAAAAGTGCTTGATCTTCGCCCTTTCCTTCCTTGTTTCTTGAAGCCTTTTACCCCTCCCATCGGTACGAAGACGTGCCTGTTCGTAACAATGGAAGGTCATAGTGCAGGCGGTATGTACCTGGTATGCATGTGCCATGTAGTACTATCTACTACTATCTATAGTGTACCTGCAGCTCGGACTCGTGTCATCATCAACACAGCCGAGAAAAATGCAGAGGAAATGGAATCAAAAGAAGACTAGCCGAGCAAGCCAAGCCTTGCCATGGACGCACTGCATTTCTTCTGTGTCATGGCAGAGAAGCGATATGACAGATTGGCGTCAGATGGTCAGATCAACCGTGAACTATCTGGTGTGGGGACCACAAAGTACCTTTGGGGATCTGCACTGCTCTTCCACCCCTGGATCGCGCTTGGGTACGATCGGGTGAAAAAGTCTTTACCGTGTTGACGACTCGAAGCCGTGTGCATCATTATTCGCATAGGGAGTTGGTCGGCTGTAGATGGTGAAGATCAGAGCCTCAGAACAATTTCTGGTGGGAAAATGGGACGTCTTTCTCTTTGGCCCCATTGTCCTGCATGCATGCAGTGATGAACCAAAGTAGTAGCTTGGGGTCTGAATGGACGGACGGGTGTATTTCAAGATCGACCACTCCAGCAGTGGCAAGTACGTCCGAAGGAATGAGTCTTAATATATTCGTCCCACGGACGAGATACTAAGCATGTACCCAAGGGGGTCCAAGAGTAAGACAGCGAGCGACCAGATCCCCATATCACATCTATTATCGGAATATTGGGCTATCCATCCATCCCTACGCAACGGCTGCGCATGGAGATTGGCGAGCTGACGCAGCCCTGGAGTTTTGACGCGGTACATCACACTCCCAAAAGGGGATCGATTGACTGGTGTCTCTGGCAGCAAGGACGGCTGTGCCTGGCAAAATGACCATACTCCGTAATGTCAGTACCCTTGCTGACTCAGGGCAGTCATGTGACTTCGCGCCTTTGTGGCACGCGCCCGACGTGTCTAAGAGAGGCTAAATGCGGAGATCAACCGGACTGGAGGGACAAAGCATGCGGGCCATACTCTGCAGCATATCAATTCCCCTTCGAAGAGAGCGCCCGGCATGCGAACCATTACCAGCTTCTTCAAGCGTCCGTCTTTCGCAGCAACATCCCGCGATGCGCGTGCTGAGACCCAAGCCGACGACCCCGCGCCAGCTCCTGAGTCGTCCCCGCTCACCGAACTATCGTCATCCCTCCACTCGAACGACTCCTCTCCGCAACGTCCGAAGGGCCAACGCTCTCAGCTGAATGCGCCGCTCTCATCGCAACCCATCGGCGATACAACCGGGAATCAGGAGCTGCAGCACAGCTTCTTCAGCACCGATGATCCCTCGCCCGGAACGAGTTTCAGCTCACACCGCGTGGTAAAGAAGGGGAAGGAGGTCGTCATCAGCTCCGATGGCGAGGATACGGACTCGATAAGCTCGCTTGAGGCCCCGGAGGATATATTTACGAAATTCATCAAACCGGGGGCCTCTGCGAGCAAAAGATCAACGGACAGCGATTCACCCGGGCCAGGAATGAACCTGCGTGGCCGCGGTTCGACAAGATCCAGAGGATCGATTCGCCTGTCACAAACGCTTCCAAAATACAGACACACGCTTGATTCACTTGTTGTCAAGACAGTTGATGACAATGAAACCGAAGCGAGCATCGCAAAGCTGAAAGCGGCCTTTGAAAAAGAAGCTTTACGGGAGGCCGAGAAGAAGAATGCTCTGGCACATGGTTCGAACTTGAAGAGCACGCGGTTACACGAAGGTGTCCTGGCTTCGGCTTTAGGTGATGATGATGACGAACTGGGGCTACAACGACTGCTTGATGCGGTTCGGAGAACAGAGGCCCTTGACCTGGAGAAGACTTGGCACTTCTTTGACAATGAGAGCGAGTTGCCTCCCGCACTAGACTTCCCGACGACTTCCATCAAGCCGGGAACCCAACTATTCGGACTGCGAGGTAAGTCTTCGGATATGAGCACGGGCTTTTTGTTGGTTCTAATGTCTTCTCAGAGACCCATTCGAGAGAGCGCGCATTCCATTCTGGGATTGTCGATGTCGCCTTAGCAAGGTCAATGTTACCAGATGCCCTGATTTCATGGGTTTTCCATTCCGGTCAGTCGAGGAAACCGTCGTATCCGTCTTTCTACTCACGTTAGTTCAGTGCCTTCGGAGTCTCAGGACAGCATCAGACAGGCCTATTGCAGAGCTGTGAAAGTCAGTAACTCCTTGTACTGACAAATTCCAATACGCCTAACATTATTGCAGAATACGCCCGCCGAACGTATAAAGACACTCATTACCCCAGCGGACATAGATCAGATCTTTCACCGGTTAGGAGCTACTCCGAGGGCACTTTCCATTTCTGAGGAGGTCATCCCAGATGCAGAAGTTACAAGTATGTTGACTCTGTAGATCTTGAATGCAAAGATGTCGGTGATTAACGAATATTTGCAGAGAGTCGGGTAGAAACGGGCTCGCCGCGGGAAGGGGCCTTGCTAGCCGTCCTTGACCTACTTTCTGGGGCAGCGGATTCGTACGTGCTCGGATTTCCTCCATGTATAATTCTGCTAACGCCTATAACAGGTTTGCAGAGAATACACGAGAACGCGTGTTAAATTATCTGTTCCGTCTAACGCTCGATGCATCCCTGACCAGCAATGCTCGGATATGTTCGGAACTGGAGCAAGCTATACTCTCCGTGCTTGGGAACGTCCATGAGGATACGGTGGATGACCTGGTATGACACGTTCTTTTGGTTTCGGCTCTCACTAACACGTCTAGGTACACCGCGTTTGCATGTCCGCCTACGACACAATCAAAGATGCAACGCTTCAAAGCCGTCTCCTCAAGCACATCCTACCGGTCTCGGACTGGATCGCCGTAGTACGGTGTCGCCTTGCATTGTCTTTCCTAACCCATAGTCCCTTGCCACTCAGCGACAGTCTAGAGAAAGTCTTCAACTTGAAGCGAATAACCAGCATCCTGAAAGGCCAACGCTTCGAAGTGAAGCGATACAAGAGAAAAGGCGAGAACAACTACGATTACGAGGAACTCGGATCCATCACCGCGCTTCTGAACATCGTAATCGACTCCGGACGTTTTGAAGCGACGTTCCCCGACAAAGCCGCCGAGCGAGAATTCAACGCCGACGTCGACGCCTTGTCGGATCGGCTGAAGAAGATATTCACTTCCATCGAGGATTCGGGCGCATCGCACCTCAAACGAACATTGACAAAGGAGGCCCTGGAGTCTCTGCACTACCGTGTTATCTATTCCGTCCGAACAAAACCTCGTCCCAAGCAGTCGATCTACGGGGAGATTATCCCTCGGAAAGAGAAAAAAGAAGTCTTTTCTGGTTGGAAAACTAAGCCTAAACAAGACCAAGATACCGAAATGCCTATCCGACAACATGACCAATAATTTCAAAACCGCACTCTCCTTCTCGGTTTATTGGCCCGTCTTGCTGAGACTATGGGCGTTTTCTCATACGATCAAGCAGTGAGGCAATTGTCCTACATACACCACAGGACAATATGGTAGTGGTCTCCACCTTCTCTTGCTTCCGGAACCTCGGTGCGAACTGCACCCTATATACGATCCTTACGGTGCTCAGCGTAGCGAGGATCTCTGCTTCATTTTTATTTTTATTCTATGTTTTTTTTTTTTTTGCTTCCACTTCCCCTCGTTCCCCGCATCCGACCACTCGACGGCCATAGTAGGCAAACCGGCTGGCCCTGTTATCCCCTACAAGATCAAAACACTCACAAACAGAGAGACAAAGAGAGAGACAAAGAGAGAGAACCAAACCAACAGCCCAGCCTTACACAAAACGGATGATATATTGGTATCAGATTTGATTGAATCCCTAAATGGCAGCGGGGGTCGTTTACCTTACCTTACCTTATGTGGCGTGGCGTTCATTGGTTTAAAAATAGGCGTGTTCCAAGTAAGGCGTGGCGTACTTCGAGTTTGTCCAGGCACCTCTTATTTATTTATTCTTTTATTTTTGTGATACCTTGCTGCAGAACGGATGGGATGTTATGGCTGTTATGTGTCTTGTGGGAACTCCTTGTTGCGATCGATTATATACGGGGATATTGCTTGCTGGTTAGTGAAAAGTGGCTACCTACTTGCGGATTTACCAGGTCTATAATACTGGGATCTTGAACCGTACTGTTTGAGAAATTGGTCTCTAGGTAGGTAGTAGGTAGTAAGGTAAGGTAGGGGGTTGCTGGATACATGATACCACTACCTAGGCAAGTAAGGTAGGTACCTACTGGTAGGTATGCTGTATAGGTTTTCAGAGCCTGTATTGACTTATCTAGGTAAATATCCAGTCCCATGAAATCGTTCTTATAGAGGGAAGCAGTCTTACTCTCGTAACCCCATTCTCCACTTCCTCGCGACTACATAGGAAACGACCACCTCATAACCGACCGACCCGACCTGGTATAATCCTCCCCCCCGGCATTGCGAATCAGGGACATCGGAAACACAGAGCGTAGTTAAACCCAGAAGAACTCCACATAAAGAGTAATAGTAGAAGAAGACGAAGGACTTTATACAAAGCTATGGTGCTCTCTTAGAAAAGAACCGCGGCAGATAGATACAATGGCTGCAGCAACAACGACGAAACAGGTTGAGGGAGGTATTGTGGATTCGCATCGCAAGAGACACACAGGTTCTGTCTAGTCATAGAATCTCCGGTTGACGTTCTTGCCGAAGAGCGTCTCTCGGACGGCGGGCAGGGCATCGATCTCGAGCAGGCGCAGCCGGTCCTCGAACGTGTTGTTGATCTCGATCTTGCCCTGGCCTCCGAGGATGACGACACCGCCGGCGCTGGGGGTTACATGTTAGAATATGATGCTAGAAAGGGCAAAAGAAAGGAAGGAAGGAAGTAGGTCCGGTCGGGTCGGGGTAACTCACGATCCCTCAGGCAGCGGGTCCTCTTCGTCCAGCTCCGCAGACACCTCCTTGCCCACGCTCTCCTGGAACTCCTTCTCCGCCTCCTCGATGGCCTTCTTCACAGCCTCGGCGTCCTTCTTCCGGGCGCGCACCGACACCTTCTCCTCATTGAGGGCGAACAGGCCCTCCAGAACCAGGTCCTTCAGCACGGTCTCATACTTCTTGGCATCCTTGGCGGCGATACCGGAGATCTGGTCGCGGGCCTGCTGGAACAGCTCGTCGAGGAGCTCCTGGCGGGAGGAGAGGACGCGGAGACGGGTGCGGTTGGCGAGGGTGGAGCGGGTGATCTGTTGGGACATGGCGGCCTGCTTGAACTTCTTCTCGTACTGGGTGTCGATGGCGGCGGTCTCCTGGCGAACAAGCTTGGACTTCTCAATGGCGAATTCCTCGTCGGCCTTGAGCTGGATCTCACGGGCCTTCTCGATGGCCTCCTGCCGGATGAAGGCCGTCATCTTGCGGAGCTCGCCCGCCACCTGTTCGTAGAGGGGATGATGAGCTCGGGTGCCGATACGCATCCCTGGTCAGAACTGGCTTGGCGTACCTGGTCATCGGAAAGAGCATGGCCTTGCGACATTGTGTAGAGAGAGGTGAGAGTATGTTGGATGTGTGTGGGGGGGGGGGGGAGTGATGCGATGCGATATGGGCGTGGGGAGGGGGAGAGAGACAACAACGTCAGTCAGTCGAGCTTCCCGATGCGGAGGTGCCTTTGGCCCTTCTTTTGGGGGGGGCGGTCAGTCAATCAATCAACGTCAGCCTGCGGGCTGTACCAAGTACAACAGGGGGGTCACGGATCACCCCGATTGCAAAGGGGAGATGGGTCAGAAGGTGCAAACTCACCTGGATGGGATGGAATGGAATGTTGAGAGAAGGAGAGGAGAGAGATAGCAGCGCAGGTGAAGGGAAGAGAGCAGAGAGGGAAACGTTGCACGTAGTTGGATCTGGTGATCCAGACCGTCCGCGGTACGGGTACTGTACACGGTCCATGTATCTAATCCCGCCCCCCATCCATCCATCCCTCCATCCCTCTCTCTCCTCCTCCTCCGTACGGCTTCTCCGGTCCACGCCCTCCTTCTCCTTCTCTTCCTTCCGTGTCCTTCGCTCCACTGCCTTTCTCGCTCTGTCTCGGACCATGGAGTCTATTTTACCCGCCTTGTCCTGTCCCGTCTAATGCCTCTCTGGTCTACTTCCCCCGGCTCAGCAACCAATGCACGAGGATATCCGAGATGGGCAATCTTGGTGACTTGTCGCCCGAGGGAAGCGTCGCGGTGCGTTCCTCCCCGAATTACTTCCATTGATTCGCATTGAGCCTGTATGCTGACTCGCAAGTGTGGCTCCAGGTTGGGGTGGTTGTCGGGTTGATCTCGACCAGTCTCCAGGCCATCGGGCTAACTCTCCAACGCAAGTCGCATATCCTCGAGGACGAGAAACATCCCTACGATCTACGCCGCCCCCCCTACAAACGTCGAAGATGGCAGGTGCGCTATCCATCAATTCCCACTCTCCCTGTTACAAGCCGTCCATCCTGAGCCGACCGTGCTAACGGTTCCAAGTTGGGCATGCTGATGTTCGTCGTTGCGAACATCGTCGGCAGTACCATACAGATCACCACTCTTCCGCTCCCGGTGCTCTCCACCCTCCAAGCAGTCAGTGACCCCCCTCTACTAAATGGTGTGTTTATTCGTCGGCACCGCTGAGATCCTATCAATTAGTCCGGTCTCGTGTTTAACACCATCTTCGCCACCTTGATCCTGGGTGAACCGTTCACCCGATACTCGCTCGTGGGCACCGGCTTGGTCTGCGTCGGCGCGCTATTGATCGCGATCTTTGGCGCCGTGGGGGAGCCAGCGCATACTCTTGACCAGCTTTTGGAGCTTCTCCAGCGCCGGAACTTTGTTCTCTGGATGGTCGGAACGGCCGTAATGGTGCTGGTCATCTACCTTGGGTCCAGACTCCTCAGATTCCTAGCCTCGCCGTCTCGGTCCAAGTATGGCAACCCACGCGGCTCGTATATGCCGCACCTGCAATTGTCGCATGGCCGGGTTCGGCTCATGCGCGGGCTTTCCTACGGCATGATCAGCGGGATCCTATCGGCCCACTCCCTCCTGCTAGCCAAATCAGCCGTCGAGCTTCTCGTTCGGACAGTCGTGGATCGCGTCAACCAATTCAACCGATGGCAGTCGTGGGTGATTCTGCTCGCCATGATTGCGCTCGCCCTATCTCAGCTGTTCTACCTACACCGGGGTCTGAAACTCTGCAGCACCAGTGTCCTATACCCCTTTGTCTTCTGCATCTATAACATCATCGCCATCATAGACGGCCTAATATACTTCCAACAGATGTCCCAGCTGACAGGCTTCCATGCTGGATTGATATCGCTGGGGACGATTGTCCTTCTCGGCGGGGTTCTCTGCCTCTCGTGGCGCCTGGAAGTCATTGACAGCCACGCGGCCGTGACGGTCGGTGGGCCGTCCCAAACCGGACTGGGTCCCGGAATGGCGGTGGTCGAGGAGCATCCCACCTCCCCGCTGGGTCTCGGAATGGACGGCGAGGAAGATCTGGAGCGCGAGCCTCTCTTACAGGCTGCACATCCCTCTCGCATGAGCCCTCACAAGAGGGCCCCCAGTCTCCCTTTACTATACCCTACGGGATCCCAACGGGATTCCACAGATCTAGATTCGGCTTCCATCTGGGCTGAACTCGACGACTCTGATTATGACTACGTCACAGCCACTCTGCGTTCTCAGCAGAACCCTCGCGGCTCGCTTTCAAACCGACCAAGAAGTCGAACCGGCGCTGTCACATTGAGAGACAATCTTCTCCGCGGACCGCGCCGTTCCAGCACCATCCCAGTCAACCAGGGCTCCTGGAACCAGCGCAGAGCCCCCTACGGCATATCCGAGCGTCGCAAACAGCGACGAACATCTGCTCCTGCCCCGGAATATCGCAGACTCCTGCTCAAACGGCCAACCCTCCCCGGCCTCTCCTCGGACCCCAATCAGCCCCGGATAACGGGATACGGCACCCAGGACGACCGGTCCGACAATGTTTTCTCCGGCAACAACCGTCGCCATCCTTCTGATTTCTCCACCCACACAGACCCATCCGACGGTTACTCCCACTCCAGTCTCCTCGCAGGCCCGAGGAGAACTCTCCGCGGAGCCTGGCGAGGCAGTCTTCGATACCTGACCCGATGGACCGGCGGCCAAGCGCGCGCATCCCGCGCAACCGCCGACCCGGACCCAGGCTCAGACCCAGACCTAGACCTCGAAGCCAGCCCTGACAGGCCCCCAGATTGAAGACTTCCTTTTTTTTTTATTTCTCGTTTCCATGTCATTCAATACACACTAGACACCTACCTATCTTCTTACCCTTGCAGTTCAATTAAACCAATGTACAATACACACATACAGATATACACACACATACATCCATCCATCCAACTGTCCAACTGTCCAAGCACCCACAGTATACACTACATCACCACCACCACCCACTATTTCATTCTATCTCAATACCCTCAAATCCAGCCCCATCCTATCTCCAAAATCCGGAATCTCCCAAACAGCCAGTATTGACCCAAGAAGAAAACCACCCCCCCAAACCTATCCCATCAATAGTACACCTCACTCCCTCCCTCTCTCCCTACCATAAGGCACTAAATCCCTACCAAGCTAAAAACGCTTTCTTTGTCTCCGAGTTGTTGTACCAGGGGAAACCCTAACCTACCTATCTACCACCTACCCACCCAGTTACCTACCTACCCACCCAGTCTAGTCCCAACAAGGTACCGCATCAAGGTAGTACCCGTAGGTAGCATTCCCTTTCCCCCCAGCGTTGATCTTATGTTGACATTAACATTAACATTGACATTGCCATTGCCATTGCCATTCTAGTTTCTAGTTTCTAGTTTATATCTCCCATCACAGGCCCGGAATGTTCTCGTCTATATGGGAGCATATCAATTTATATAAAGTAAATTTCATATCAGCCACATCACGAGATCCGGGACAGCTAACCAGCCAGCTAACCAGCCAGCCAAGCCAGACTTCATTTCCCGTCTTTCCTTTCTTATTTCATCCTCCTCCATCACGTTTCTTTGCTCATTTGTCTACGCATAAGCGTGTTTCCTTGCCCTTTTGTCTATGCATAAGCATGTTTTCTTGCCCTTTTGTCTACGCATAAGCGTGTTTTCTTGCTCTTTTGTCTACGCATAAGCGCGCTTTCTTGCCCTTTTGTCTACGCATAAGCGTGTTTTCTTGCTCTTTTGTCTACTATGCATAAGCATGTTTCTTTCCTCCTTTTCTTACGCATAATGTTGGTCAAGTAGATGGATGGATGGGCGGTGTTCTTTTCGCATAGTTTACCGAGACTATTGATATATCTAGTTATATCTATCTACTGTTTTAGGTCTTTCGGCGGTGATAGTGATTGGTTTTGGGTGGTTGGTTTATTTTGGGTATAATAGGCTGGGGAGGGGAGGGGAGTGGAATGGAGGGATGGGAGTAGTAGTTTAGTGAGAGCGCGCAAATCTACGTACTTGCCTGCCTGCATTCCCTTCGTGATGGTGACAGTCCTCAGTCACACTGCGAATGTAGCAGAGTAGAGTAGATAAACTCTGACCATGAGACCTTGCTTCGGTATAACGCTACAGGTTCAGATCTACAGCATACAGCACGAGTGACAGGAAGTGATCGCAAACAGACTAGAGAAATAGATAAGGAATGATTCCAGTTTTTCCATACCATACATGACATACTTCCTACCTGATGAGGGCCATCCATCCAATATCATAAGTTACTCAATCAAATAACCCCCCTCCGCGTGCGTTCGTCTCGGCGCATGACCCCGCCCCCTTCTGCTTCCTGAGCTGTCGTTCAACTTGCCCGCAAGCCAGTACCATTGTCGAGGGGAGGGGTGTGGACCACAGCCAAAGGGAGAACAGACACGGCGCAAGGGGTGGGAAAATCACATGGGCAAGTCAGGGAGAAGGAGGGAAAGGGAATTAGTCAAACGCGTGACGGGAAACGACAATTTATGAATGACAAAACAGAGAACCACTTCGCCAGTAAGACTAGAGAAAGAAGAAAGAGGAAGTAGTAAAGGCACCAGAAACACCGCCACTTCCACCGTCGTCTAGGAAAAGGATTAGGAGATGAGGAACAAGGCAAGGAAAATCAATTAATAACCCGGGGGGCCCAGATCGGCGTTTTGGCATCCTTCGTGATTCAGTCGTCCATCCTGGCCTTCGTTTTCTTTTTGGTTTTTCTTTTTTTCGGTTTTAAATCTTTTTTTGGTCTTCCCCTTTCGATTGGCTGTTTTTGGCTTTTGTGGTGAGGATCTTCCGTGAAACAGGGCAAATAGCACGAGGGTTCTTGCTAACACCGAGACCAATGACTCAGTGCAGATGCCTGTAAAACTGCACCACCCACGATGCGGGATATACACAGGTTACGATGAGGTCATCTTTCCGTTCTTCGGTCTGAGGCGGTCGGTGGTATACGATGTAGACCGGTTTTTTTCAATAATATCAATTATGTGGTAACAAATCGTTGGGTATCAAAGGAAGGCCGTGGAGGAGCGAAGCTGTACGCGCTGAAGTTGGCAAGGATGCGAACAACCGTCGAGGCCCCTCAGGTTCTGAAAACGCGCGGCATGAAGACACAGGTCCACTGCTTAAGCAGTGGGCTGATGCTGAGGTGGCATCCGGTTGCCCACAGGCATGCCGGGGTACTGCCCGCCAGCCTGCTGTTGTTGCTGCTGGAGGTTCTGGTAGTAGGCCATCTGCTGCTGTTGCTCGTTGGTCATGTAGCCCGGGTGGATGCCCGCGGGACGCGGGATATTCGACTGCTGCGGGTTGACATTGGCGTGGCTCACGTCCTCGGGTGTCTCGGCGGGCACCTCGGGCGCATCGACGCCATTCTCACTGGAGGTGGGATCCGGGGCGTTCAGGCAGGCCTGGAGGCAGACGGGGTCGCGTTAGTCGGGGTCGAGGGAGACTCGGTCATATTGGGGAGGCAAAAAGACGCGACTCACCTGGATGAGGTTCTTGCCCTCGGCCTTGGTAACGAGCGGTTGAAGCTTCGGGGTGGTAAAAGTATACACGAGACCGGTCTCAGACACGACCAGGAGCAGTACTTGGGTACCGGTAAGGACGGAGAGTTCGTAGGCCTGTTTTGCGACCGCATTGAGGCGTCAGTCTCGATCAGACAGGGGGGGGGGGGTGGGATAATTGGCGGCGGGCATCTTCAGCGGGGTGAAAAGACGGAGGGCAGAGCGAGTAGACGAATTGACCACCGGTAGCGACCGGATTGGAGGCGAAAACAAAGGGAGGTTGAGGCTGAGACGCGACAGTACGCACCTTCTTCATGATACCCGCCTTCCGCTTGGAGAAGGTGATGTGGCGACGCGACTTATCCTGGATGAACTTGATCTCAATCTTTCTGCGCTCGCGACCAGGCTTGTCGTCATCATCGTCGTCGTCGTCGGCGCTCATGCGAGAACGCTTGGTGCCGCGGTTGTCAGCGGCGCCGTTACCGGCGGCCTGCTGCAGGTCGTCCTGGGTGGGAGAAGGGTTCTCCTCACCGACGGCAGTGATATCGGCCATGATGGGGGAGGGGAGGAATGGAGGGAGTGAAGAGCGGGGGGAGGGGACGAGAGAGAAGAATTACTCGAGGTGTCGAGGAAGGAAAGGAAAGGTGCTGGGGGAGTGAAGACGAATGCCCAAAGAGGAATGATGCTTTTGAGGGGGAGGGAGAATGACCAAATCGAGTAACGCGTTTGCTTCGCAGGGTTTGGGTTCAGGACGAGAAGGAAAGAGAAACGGGGAGGAGGAGTTCGAAGAAGGCAAAGTGCCGGTTGGGACAGGCAGGCGGTCAGTCACGTGGCACTGGCCCGTCCATTACCCGCTGTGACAATACCCCGCTGTACTACACGTATACTTACTACTGTAGCCCCTAACTACCACTCACCCTCCTCCCATCAACTCTCCGCATTCCTCCCGTCTCTCCCTCTCTCTCTCTCTCTTCCTTCTTTCTTTCTCTCTTACATTCTTTCTTACCCTCTTTCTCGACCTCTCTTCTTCCCCTCTAAGATAACTATCTTCTCTTCATCTCTTCATGGTCTCACTTTCACTTCTCTCCCTCTCATCCGTCTCACTACTAGCGGAAACCAGTCCAATCTTTCCGTCACAATACGCGCGGTGTCCAGACCCGACGGTGGGGAAGAACTCGGTCTTGGCCCGAGCCACTATTGGTTCAGCCGCAGTGAGGCATTGGGGGATTCGATACGGCGGCCAACTCACATTCCCCACTCATACCGCGTAATAATACGACGGTCCCCTTCAGGGTCATGGTGAAACCATTGGGAGGCAAGCCCACCACCAGTCAGTCAGTCGACTGTTCTGTCTGTCTATCTTTTCACCGGTAAATAGTATGGAGTACCCCGTAAATACTATCAAGATAAATACTGATAGAAGGGCACGCACTCCGGAGTTGACTTGACCCGGGAATCGGGGAACAGCATGTATGAACAAGCTGTACCTATGGCGCGCTGATTCGCCATGGTTCGACCGGGCTGGAAACCGGGCTGGAGTGGCGGGCGCGCATACTATAGTACTATAGTACCCTAAGGTCCTACTACTGTAGTAACCGCCGGACGGTTGGCCCCCAACCCAAACCCGCAGTACGTACCACTCACTCCGTCCCCCAGCAGACGCGGAGAACCGGAGTACCGCGTCCGGGACGGTAAGCATCTCTTATTGCCCGATGTATCATGGAAACATGGGTAGGGATAGATTGATTGACGGCCCATTCATTGATCCATCTATTACCGACTCATCCCATCAGGGCAGATAACATGCACAAGACCTTGCCACCGTCACCATCACCATCACCATCACCATCACCATCCACCATCCACCATCCACCATCCACCATCCACCATCCCAACTTCCAACAGGAGAAGTTCACCCCCCCCCCTCCATCAACCAGTTCCCAAAAACCTGAAATCCCGAACTATATATAGTTGGCGTGGACAAGGTCAGGCTTTCAGCAAGGACAACCCCAATAATTTCCTCCCAAGCCAATAGATCCCCCGCCAGCGGATCATCACGACGCCATCTGCATGATTTGATGGATCGATAGATAGATAGATACCTAGATGCCCCTCCCCCCTTCTGTCTCACCCCCACGAGGCTCTTCCCTCGTGGAAGAGCAGTAGTGCGAGCAAGCAAGCAGGCAGGCAGGCAGGCAATGAACCCTCCCTGATAGATAGTAGGTAGATAATCACCAAGCCCAACCTAACCCGGATATGGTGGGTGCCATGGTCCACAGACCCCCTCGGATGTGATAGGGCTGGCTACTTTGGTAGTGAGTTGTTGTTCCCCAGCAAAGCTTAACTGCGCTGTTGCTTTGGGGCTCCAGGAACACGATGTACCTCTTCTACCTCTACTCTCTACTACTTGGTACCATCTACAACAATGAGGATTGTTCCTGGGGAGCGAGGGAGGGAGGGAGTTGCCACATCCCCTCTTTCTACAATTATTGCAGGACCAACAAAACAGCCTCTGGTGTGTATCGACGAATTCGGAAATCCAATGATGAGGATCTTTTTCAGCCTCACTACGACTACGACATCACAAGCATCCCCCCTGTACAGTAATACTAATACTGATACTAATACTAATACTAATACTAACAGTAGAGAATGTCTTACCTCAGACCACCTTCACTGGCAGAAAGCAAGGAACAGGTAGCATTTACGTACCCCAGAACAGACAGACATCAAACTTTCTCTTCTCTCAAGTCTCATCACAATCACACACGAACGCCCCCCAGGCAGCGTGATAGGCTCGCCCCCGAAACCTAGTGGTTGGGCAGGGCAGATGCATTCATTCATTCATTCATTCATTCATTCAACTATCCATATACTCATAGATAGATAGTCCATGAGTACATCCTCCAGGCAAGCCACCTTGGTACTCCATACCGGTGTAGTATTAGCAGTCTAGAATGAACTTCTCATTACTCCATATATCCATTTATAAGCAAGAAATCATTAAGCAGTAGGAAGGTAGGTAGGTAGGTAGTTTGACAACCAAGAGACCCTGTCTAAATCCCCCGATTTTGAATAACCCTCATATCCAACACTCCATACATAGACAATAGATACTCTCACTCCCACTCCCACTTCCACTCCCACCCCCGCAACCCTCATTCAATTCAAGCTGAATCCACACCCCCTCCCAATGACACGGCAAGAGCAATCCGACCAAACCACCAGAAGAATCCTATCCCATCAATTCGATTGATTCGAGGTTAAGATATACAATACAGACTACCTACCCAATGGTATATTTGATCTACATCATACATCATACATCATACCTTCTTGTCTGGATTGGATCATCTACGGAGTACTCCGTACAGATGCACACATCTACCAACCTAGTATCCGCGTTACAACCATACACCTCCTACCTTACCATATCAGGTTCCATAGTCTCCGATAACCCAGGCTAATCTAGCCTCTATCTAGCCTCTAGCCTTCTGGGATGGGATGGATGGATGGATCTGTGTGTATAGCGTAGTGTATGCATATGATCTCAGAATGAAGTATGCACGCGGGAGAGTCGGATATTCGGACCCGGCACCGGAAGTCAGTCCCGGGTGTCTATGTCTACTATATGTCTGTCTCTGTAGTTGGAACCGGTAAGCAGATGCAGAGTTCAAAGATAGGAAGGAGATGGGTGGGCATGTGCACAAATGATTGAGGACCTTGGTGCTTCGGACACTGTGTAATGCCAGTGGTCAATATGAAACACGGCGAAACTCGACCACGCAATCAGACGACAGCCATTACGAAAGCACCTCCATTCACAAAATAAGAAAGAAAGAAACAAGCAATCAATCCATTCAGATTATCAGCCAGTGTATAATGCTCATCGCCCCCCCTAATCTAAGACTTAACTCGTAATATTCTGCCATAACGACGACAGATGCGCTAATCTCCAAAAGCAATCAACCGCGGCTCGGCCGGGAAATTCTATTTTTACAAATGATGCAGAAGAAGCGATGCCTCGAAGGCAGCAAACGGGAGAAGGAGAAGGGGTGGAAGAGAAGAGACTCGAACAAGAGACAGTCAAAACCACCGTTCCCATCTCGGACTGCGCCATTCTTGACTCCGCCAGTAGAACGCCAGGCAAAATGATCCATCCGTACATTCACGCGCCACCGTTTCTTTCTCGGGGCTTCCTGGTCGCCGTGGAGTTGGGAGTGGCGGCGGTTCCCGTGGGCGTTGGGGCGTGTTGCAGGAAGATAGAGAGATGTAGAGAGCAAGGAAATAGATAACTGCATAGGAAAAAAGCTAAAGGAATGGAAAGAATGTGCAAGAATCGAAAAGGTTCACAGATCCCAAGGGCCAGCCTCAGTCTCGGTCGCGTGGTCTTTCATTTGAAGAGTGGAAGGGTCTAGTGGTGCTGTTTCCGGACACCAAAATCGCGAATCCCGGCACCACCGCCACCCTTGGGACCGAGCCAGACAATTTCGATCACGCTGTGGCCTTCATCTTCTTCACGCACATACCACTGGTGCACGTTATCGCCAACCACGAAGGCCTCGTGCAACAACCAACGATCCTTGGTGACGCCCTCCTGGTCCCTTTCACGCAGGGGTCCCAGGCGCGCCTCGTAGCCACGGGGGTCCTCCTCCCAGGTCTTCTCCGTGTGGTCAAAGTTGATCGCATCATCGGGGGTGTTCTCGTCGTAGGTGTACTTGACGAGCGAGTATCCGTTGGTGAAAACCCAGAACGTGCGGGTGGAGCGACCGGTCGCGTTGTTGACAATCTCCTCCTGGTCAAAGACCCAGCGGCGGAGAACCGACCGGCGACCCGCCGCGGCGGCCACAGTGGTCATCTTCACGACGTCCTTGCTGTACCAGCTGTTCCAGTGGTGCATAGACTCAATCTTGCGGCCAGACTCGTAGACACCGTCAACCTCGCCCTTCATGTCCATCTGGTACAGCGACGGCCAGAGGGTAAGAGGGGTGTCTCCGTATCTCTGGATGCACTGACCGAGCTTCTGGTCACCAGGCTGCTCGCCCCACGACTGGCACTCATCGTAGTATTCCTTCAGAACATCGAGAAGAGGCTTGGAGACGAACACACCGGCACCTCCGAAAGCAATGTGGCCGAAGGTGTCCACCTGCCAGCTGGCCTCGGACAAAGCGCCAATGTAGTGCTTCTTGCTCACATCGAAAAGCTTCAGCTCCTCGGCGATGGTAGACAGAGACAGGAAGAAGGTATCGTCGTCGATGAAGCTCACCCACTGGGTCTGGGGGCGCTTGGTCTTGATGTGCTCGGAGAATGCGTCCACCAGGCCGAAGTAACGAGCAGTGAAGTCAAGAGGGGACTGGATCAAGGTCAGGTCCAAGCCACGGTTGCGGAAGTAAGCCTCCTGCTTGGGGATGTCGTCGTCCGACTCCGGAACAAGCACAATGATGCCGGCCTTGGTGTTTCCGTAGGAGTATAGCAGAGAAGGAAGCAAGCGGTCCAGACGGTCAGCCGTGGTGGCCAGACCGAACAGGAGCTTGTCGGTCTCGTCCACGTCGTGGTCGGCAGCAACGTTGACATCGATGATAGGGGGGCAGGGCAGCGGGTCCTCGTTCTCGGGGGACACGATCATCCCGCGCTCCATGATGGTCATAGGAGGGAGCACCGGGATCTCAATATCCTCGAGCGAGTTAAACTCGGTCTTGGGGCTCACATGGTGAGGACGGAAGTAGGCACGGGTGTAGTTCTTGCGAGGAAGCCATTCGCTCATGGGCAGAGGAGGCAGGAGACCGGGGTCCACGTCGCATGTCTTCGCGGTGGGGGGTGTAGGTTGCAGCTGGATCTGCGGGGAGCCCGATCCAGAGACGCGGTCGACGTGCTTAAAGCGGAGGAGGGCATCGCGATCGAAGCGTTCGATGCACCAGAAGAAAAACCCGATGGAGAAGAGGGCGATCAAAGGGAACGCCGTTTTGAGGCGAATCATCGGCATTTTGGGGGGGTAATTAGAGTTATTCTTGGACATGTAAAGTCGACAAGGTGGATGACAGAGGAGATTAATAGAGTTGCTTCTGTGAGTTCAAAAGCCCATCAAACGAAGATGGTCGTCGTCACCGGATCCGTCCTCGCAGGCGAAGAATGGACGGGAAGATCTGATAAAGAGTGGAATTGGCGAATAGAAAAAGGATCCCGATGCAGAAAAATTTTCCTATTGCCAGATAAGACTGTCAACGAGAGGCTGGCAGCGTCGAGGCCTGCGACACAGTCACAGAAAGGGGTGGAGAGGCCCGGTGAGAAATTATTTGGGGGGGCAAAAAGAAGGCCGCAGGAATGACTTCCAAGCCAAACGAAAGGCCGACAACAGGAAGAGAAGCGAAAGCGCAACCGGACGGAGGAGCGTCCAGGGCTAAGAGGAGGGATGAAGTCGGTGGTGGTGGTGGCGGAGGTTGTCGAGCCTTTTTGGGGGGGGGGAGGAGAAAGGGGAAGAAGAAGAAGAGGAAGAAGGAGGGGCGAAGCGACCGGGAGACGGAGGAGAGTAGATGAGGGATGAAGACAGGAGAGACAGGCGACTGGGAGCGATCCCAAGTGGGAATGCCGAATACAGGACCACGGGTTGGGTTGGGGCCAAAGCTCGCTCTCACTGGGTAAATTAATCTGCAAATAATAAGCTCAACCGTCGGTGGATAATTTGCACTGCAGGTGAATTGGATTGCATCAATCGACCATGGAAGGGGGAACTGTCGATCGGATCTCCGTCCTGGTCCTGACTTTTCCGTCTCTGTCGCGAGAGAGGAGGAAGAAGAGGAAGAAGAGGAGAAAAAGAAGAAGAAGAAGAAGAGGGGTAGGAAGGTTCAAAGGATAAAATATCAGTCACCGTCTCGCAATCCCGGCAACGAAGATGCTTTTGGGTGTTGACGCCTCCCGCCGTGCGCCAAGGTATACCCTTTTTTTGTATTTATTTTTTTTTTTTTTCAAAAGACAGAAATACATACTCCCCGGCTGGCAAGCGTACACAGAAAACGCCCTTTCCGTGATGCTTTCCTTTCCGTACTGCATCTCCGGCGGGCTTGCCGGATTGAAATTATGATTCCCCTGCCACACTGCTTCTTGCTGCAGATCCCTGACTTGAAGGTCAAGGGAACACTGAATACTGAATGGATCTTCATGGCTCCACCGGGGCGGTGGCGGGTAATTTTCAGTTTCGGATTTCAGACCCTTCCTTGCCATACGCAAACAGTGGTTCATCCTCTTCATTCCTCGATTATTGTAGGAGGTTGATTCTACTCCGTACACCCATTATTATTCCCCATGGATCAGGGCCTTTGTCTGTGACAGGAGTGGTCCATACTAGATCCTGAGAATGCCCGATATTTCCGATAGATAGATATATCGAGTCCAGATGCTTTGCAGTTTACCGATCTCGAGTCCATGCATTGATTTCCCCATGCGTCGCGATCTTTCCGGTACCACATGTTGTATCATGTATACTTCCATTGGAGGGGGGGTATCTTACGGAGTGGACAAAGTGTGTTGCTGCATACAGAAGTCTTTCCAGCGCAATCAATCAACATCAACTGATCAGCCATCCGGAGAAAAGATTCAAATCAACAAGCATACATAGACCGTCGGTCGGGGTTCGATTGCCTATCTTCCGGTTCTTCTCTCTTCCATCGTACCTGTCTATCTACTATCTATCTACATTACAATGCCTATTATTATTATTTCCCTCGAGGTGCTATGTAGCTGATCACCGTTTCTTGTCTATTTCAAACCGGACACCAGTGTTACAGGACACCGGTATGGATGACAGCTGGTCTCTTCGGATAGTCCGTCCCTTAAACGCTTAGAGTTCTTGGAATGTTCCAGTCGTCGACCGTCCACTCTATTACATTAGGTATTATTTACTCCGTACTGACCCTGACTCTTGACTCTGTCTATTATTATCTTCACAGATAGTACTAGTGCCTAGCAGTTGTGCGTTGTGCGTGGTGTGTACTGCATCTTGTCGGCTCCGGCCCAGAGAAAGCTTCATGAAGCCCACCAACACCTGAGACATGCACACCCAAACCCTCCGACTCTCTGTCAGAAAAGCATATGTTGTAACCACTGGCCGGTGCAACTGGAGACTAACTAAAAAAGATGGAAACTTCGATCTGCGCGGTTGCCCGCCGGTCCAGCCAGTCAGGGCGAGACCCTTTCGGGGGGTCGCTGAGCGCTGAGGCTGTCCGCCCCACGCGGCCGCGTGTCCCTTCCACCCACTCACTACTCTCCTATTCTGGCTGTCTGGCTGTCTGGCACTTTCTTCCCATTCATTCATCATTGCCGGGCCCGATTCGCTCTCGGGTCCGCTGGGGGTGAAACTAGCATTGTCGCGGTCACAATGGTGAATAATGCACTGAATGGGACTCAGCTGGAAGGGGAGAGCTGTAAAGGAGTACAGGAGCAAGGACAAAGGACAGCTATACTGTGTAGATACTAACCGCTTCTAGTCTATCGCACGCCATCCAGCGGCGGTTGTCGAACAGCTGCTTAGTGGCGGTAGGGTTTAGACTCCGCCCATCGACTTATCGGATCGAGTCTTTCATGCCGACAGGCAGACAGAGACAATCCGTGCTTGACCGTTTATTCAGTCTCTGTCTAGAATCGACTGGAGTACACCATTCGGTTGTTTCCCCGGTTCTTGTTGCTCTCACGTAAGGACATGGAGACTGGAGAGGTCTCCCTGGTACTCCGGACTGGTAGTGTCGGGCCAGATTGCCATGATTTTTCTATGTATAGCACCGCACTCCACGAGACCTGGGCGGTGGCAAACTGTGGCCATGATCTTGAGCCTCATGAGTGGACATGGGCTGACAGTAGTGACCGGATTGCCTCCAGGCTTTCGTGTGGTACTGGTAGATACACAGTAATGCTGTGTACCTGGTGGCCCTGCCTGTGGTTGCGGTGGTCCGCCCCCCTCCGCCCTCCGCTGGTCCAACCAGGAAAGTTGGAAATTTGCATACCAATAATATACATCAGACTCAGCAGCCCGTCCGGACGCGCGTACGTCGAACTTGATACTTTTTCCCTTGAGCATGTGCGCAGCTTGTCATTGATGGATTCTCATGGTCAGAATTCGGACTGCTTGCGACATCGTCTGGCCCAATCGCAGGATTCCTGCGGCGATCGTGGCAGAGACCCCATTGTGGGCTTGTCTTTCGCCATCGCGAGCACGTCGTGGTGTATGCGTATGCACATGCTCCATAACTATCTACACCATCTGCTTAACAACCGCCTTCCCGCCAGTCGAGTGAGTCGGCACGGGAAGGAGGAAGGGATCGACATGCTCGTTTGTTTCTCAATGACATGGCCACATCGCTAAAATACATTGCCGGACAATTAAGCTTGAACGCCAGCCTTGGCAGCTGTCACATACTAACACGATTCGATGGACCCTGACACACTGTGCCAACCTTGTTGCATGAAATGCAGGATACCTCGCAGCTGCCCCTGGGGGTGTCCTACAGACTACAGTAGACTTTGGGCCTCCTGTCATCTCTCCATGGGACACCCGGCTTGATCGGCGCAAGTCCAGTCGCCAAACCTGCCTGATAGACTGGATTGCAAGACATGAATGAAGCCAACGGTCCAAATGGCAATCCCCCTCCCCCCTGATCTTCATCAGGCTTTCACCGTTCGGCCCAGGATCCTTGCCCAAGCCAGATCAAAGTACACAGGATGCCAAGGCACCACAGTAGCAGCCCCCGCTGCTCATTGAGGAAAGATGTGCATCGGTTCAGGACGGGATTGCTCTTGCGTTTACCGCAACTGGACCGGATGGAGCCAAAGCAAAAGGAACAATGACATCAATGGAGGGTCTCCAGTCCCAAAGTACCTAGTCTGTTCAGGGTCCAACCTGCCCTGCTGCCCTGCGCTGCACCACCCTTTCCGAGGACCCGGTTCCCGAGTCAACTGGGCTGGGACACGGCGCGGTATCGAACGAACACGACCTCGTCGTTCCTTTCGCGATGGAGTATCCGTAGCCCGTAGTCCGTACGCTATGACTTCCGAATAATCCCAGGCTCATGCCCTAGCCGTCTAGGGGATGGGCGTGTTCGTATGCGTACTGTGTACTACTTACAGTTTACACACTACTACGGAGTCTATCTAGTGGTATCCATCTAAGTACCGCCGACAATAGTACTAGATATATATTATTGAAAAACCGTCGCCAAAAAAAAAAAAAAAAAACACCCCTTGAAGAACCAGTCCGAGCAGAGCAGACCGGCCTAGATACTGCGTATTCGTCTAGCTCTCTTTCCGTACGTAGTCTTTGGCCCTCTTAGGCTTTTTAGTAGTCAATAGTGTCAGATCTGTACCACGTCTTGCAATTCGTTCCGTCCGTGGAGTGCGATGGCTGTCGTTCTTGTCAGTTGTCAACCTAACCAACCTAACCAACCAACCAGCAACCCGAAGCGACGAGGCTTGATAGGCCAAGCCAGGCCAGGCCAATGGGGCGCGCGCAAACACCGGAACATAACTACTATCTATAACTATCTAGACTGACTATCTACCTTGAGTCGTAAAGTAAACATGCCATCGCATCGCGACCATGTCTATCCACAACCAAGCTAATGACTGATGTTAGGTGGAAGGAAAAGCTTGGAAGATCGATATTGATATGTACAGTAGATGGGATAGAGCGGCTTGATGGCGTTGAATATCTATCTAGCACGGAGTCTATATTCCATCTATCTAGATACTACTATCTGTATCTGTAAGTAGATAGATAGATAGTAGATGGATAGATAGTCCATGCCACGCAATCAATCACGATGTATGTATGTCAATATGATGCCATATGTTGCCATAATGGGCCTATTATATATGGTTTATAGCACACACTCATACGTAGGTACTCCGTACACTACTAGGTAGATAGATACTCTCACAGTTCCAACGGCAGCATATTAACCAGATAAAAAAACCAGATACCAAATTTGCAATACCGGGAGAACCGTACCTACTACCCACCCACAAACCACAAGCGTAGTACTAGGTAGCTTTCTAGCTAGACAGACAGACAGACAGACAGAACGAACGAACGAAGGAACCCCATCCCAATCAATCCGCTTCAACACCCCTCGCCCCTGAATCAATCTTCGGGCCTTCGAACCTTCGAATCGCAAACCCAAGGATATCTATCTATCTATCTATCTATCTATCTGGCGCATGGGAAACCAGGTCTGACTCTGCGGTCAGCGGACCGCGAAAGGGTTCGGAAATTAAGCGATATTAAAGTGAGCACGGATCCCGATTCCTACCCGCGGAACTATCGGCTCTTAGCTCTCATGGGCCCGACAGCGCGTTTCAGGTGTATCGATAGTGAGATGAGTAAAATGAATTGTGGGTTGGGAGTGGGATTTAGTGTGGGATTGGATTGGGTTTGGTTTGATTTGATTGATTGGGGTGGGATGGGATGGGATGGCTGGGGGAAATTACGTAGATATGTTGTGTTGGTGGTGGTGGTGGTAGTAGTAGATAGTGGTACTTGATGGAGGGGGGGGGGAGGAGGGGGTTGTCTTGGGGTAATTAAAGTGGTTTGTTGGGTTTGTGAGACAGTTGTTTCAGGGTGAGATGTTGATTCATTGGAGATTTCTGTCATAGTGCTACGCACAAAGAACTTTGTGCTTCTACATGGATGAATGGAAGGTGATCTATCTATCGGATTTTTTTGTGTTTCTAGAATTTGTGCAATAGTGCGAGGATCATGCCATGTCAAGCTATCTCTCTACCCATCTGCTCTGGAATATTTGTTACATAGACCGTACTATACACTGATTGTACACACACTCTTTCATCTGCACTGAAGCATAGGAAATACCGATACTCCCTGCGTATATATAATGATGTCCTCTATACTGAGAGATTATATCGAGACAAAGAGAGAACTCCATACTCTTCCGCAACCGACCTAGTATTCCGTATAAAAAGTCCCTCTGTTGATGAGTATGAAACCCTTGGTACGGAGTACTACTAAACGGCACAGTAGTACAGATGAGCCCTGATCTCGTCTAGAACATTCACCGTCAAGTTCTCATTTTCCAGATCTAGTGCATGCAATATACCGTAAACAAAAACACAATGCATGACCCAGTAATAAGCCAAAAAATGAGTCAATTTCTGGTCCAGATCTAACAGCGAGAGATGCTTAGGTATATGTTCAAGAAGGAAAGAGAGATGAAGAAATGGGGGGAAATGAAGGAGAAAGGTAAAAAACAAAGCAAAAGAAATGAAACCCCAACAAGTCTCACATAACATCCCCTGTTTATATTTATGATTACAGGTAGTTTGTAGGTAGCTATAGCCATAACCAACTATCTACACACAAACCCTCAAATCCAATCCCCCATCCCATTCACATGCATGAAACACCCGAAACAAGACACCTGCATACCAATTGAACCCAGACATACCATGTCATATCATATCATATCATATCCACGCCATAGAGACCATGAAATAGCTCGCTTGTTACACATTACATCACCATCCCGGAATCCGACACCTTCCCCTGGAATCTCTCCAGCTAGATATCTATCGGGTCCTCCTCGTCGTCTGACCTCGACTGTTCTGCATGAGATGGCTCGTATAGCAGGTGACACCGAGTGCGGAGCTAGCTGTGCGTGAGTGTGAGAGAGAAATTAAGAGTCTGGGTTGTACTAGGCTCGGAGGGTAAGTGGGAGTTGTACGAGGTGGTTGGAGCACGGCAGCTTGTTGATGTCAGGTGGGTGGGTTAGGTAGAAAGCTGTGCTGTGTGTTTGAATGTGGGTATGTGCGGGTGGGGAGTTGTTACACTGATGGTGTTGTTATGGTGAAGAGGGGCGGGGTGAGTAGGACTGTGGCTATAGCTCGGAAATGATGGATCATATAGATAGCGGGAGCGTTGAGCTACAATTGATTACATGGACATGGGTTGGGTATGTTCAATGGCTGCGAGGCCAGACAGTACATTATAAGAGTATGGCTAAGTAACAACTACATATCTTTACATGAGGATCGCTCTGCGAGTCCGCATCATTCCTCGTTATAGGCGCCCTCGCGGTCCTCGAACTGCATAAACTCGTGTTGAGAGGCCTCCTCCCCCATGATTAGCTCCCAGGCATTCTTCACCGTGTCAATCAAGGAGTCATCGAATGCAAGGTCAAGGCTAGCCGGTGGGAGGCAAATGACGTTCTTGGATGGGCAGGTTATGTTGGGGACAGGAGTGCCATCAACGCTGCTTCGGCCCAACTGCGTATAACGCAGGGACCAGAGAACCTTTGCGTTGGGATCAGCGGCCATTTCAAGAAGCTTCTGCACGGCATTCTCAATCATCAACTGCCCTCCAGGCCCGGGTATGCTGACACTGCTATAAACGACGCCTGAGACGGAAGTTAGCAAGATGTCGCAAGACAAGAATGCAAGTATGTCATAGAAAAAAGTGAATCTCGTGATCAGATTGAAAAGTTTTCATCCATGTTGTTACAGACAATGTAGATAAGTTTTTTTTGAAAAAAATCATCATACGAGGGAGGAATGCAGGGAGGTGTAAAACAGAATAGGGCAAAAACTTACTTTGTCCAGCGGGACACTCGCCCGTCTCGCTAGAGTGGACCAAAGTGCAGACCGGCGGTGAATCATCTGCGTGACCAAGAGAGCTTCCCGGGAACACCACCACCGCTCCTACAGGGACTGGTCCACCCTCTGCGGTAACGGGGAAGAGACTCTCGAAGGGAGATGAAACGACCGAGATAGACCGGGCCACTTTGTCACACTCGCAAGAAGGGCGAGCTTCCTCAGGAAGATCCCAGTTGGAGCCAACAACGAACTTGGTTTTAATAAGTTCGTCGTTGGTCAACTGAAGCTGAATGCGCGCATCTTCAACGGCCTCCTGCTCTGTGGAATGCTCGAGCGACTTGACTCCAGTATTCAGAACATAAACCCCACCACCAACGGCAAGGGCACGGCACCCCACCTGGGAAATCTCAGAGCCACCGCCCCATTTCACCGAGAGACTCCCAAATCCAGGACCAAACACGCCGATAGAAGTCAGATGTCTCTTGATGCGGGGTAGTGCGTAACTGGCCGGCGTCTGAGTGAGAGAAGCTTGTGATAAACAAAGCGAGAGTAAGGGCTCATGAAGCTCAGCGGGTACCTGAAACTTCGTGGTGAGGTACTCAAGCAAAGATGTATCAAGGCCTTCCTCTTCCGAAGGGATACCCCCCTCTTCGGACGTATCGCTCTGAGACTGACCAAGATGACGAAGGAATCTCATCAAAGTTCGCTTCGACTTCATGCTGATCATGTCGTCTGCAAAGACATCCTCGCGACTACCGGGAACACGATAGAGACGACTACCCTCCCCAGCCTCAGGTTTGTATATCCACCAGCTTCCCACAGCCTGGAACTCCAGTTGCCGGTACACCTTGGATGACACCAACGTGGGCAATAGCTGGGATTGGGTATAGATAAGCTGCGGCGACAGGGAGAGGGTGTATGCACGCGAGGCCGACAGTTGAGTGTCAGACCCCGGCACGGTTTCCGACCATATACTAGCGTTTTCGAAAGGGAGCTCCCCGGTCTCTAGCTCACCCACACTAGTCAGCAAGTGCATTGGGATCGCTTAGACTGGGAGCTCCTACCCTCGTTCACTTTAGTAGCCCACTCTTCGGCCTCCTGAAGGCTGAAGGCTGCCTCAGGACCACCGTAGTATGGATTTCTGTCAACATGGAGCACGTTCTTACCTGACCTGGAAAGGGCCCTGTCAAGACACTTGATCAGCAATGAGCACATAGCGCTGGGCTAGAGCAACCAACAGTGCGAGAAGTGACTGGGCCATTCCAGTGCCAGAGATCGTCACATCCCATGGCGTATCCGCGAGCGACTCCATCGTGATGACTGGACTGGACGAAGCCGGATTGAAAGGCTGAGCGTTGGAACAAGGTTCAATGAGCAGGCCCAGCGATCATCACGATGGGCGACAAGCAGTTGAGCACCTTCGTAGCAGGACCTTCCAGCCCAAAGGTGGTGCAACGCAGACCATCCGTTCGAGGGAGAAAGAATTTCAGAGGGGAAAAGAAAGCGAGGGACACGCGAAGAAATACGGGACCCGCAGTGGTGCGTCACGTGACCGTATATCAGGCTCCCGACGTCTTGGAGCTCGATTCAGGCCATTTCTGAGGCCAACCTGGTGGGAAGGAGCTTATTAATGATCTCAAAGCCTGTTGAAAAACTAAGGCATCAAGCTCTAATCTACTGTCAGTGCTTTTTCAAGCTTCAAATGATGGATATATGCCTGATGCTGGTATGACGCCCACGGACGAGACGATTATGCCCCTTCGGTCAGATAGAATCCAGATACTGTATTTTTAAACAAATAAAAGGAGTCGCAAAGTCTTCTCGTATGTATCAATCTTCTATTGCGATGATAGACAGCTCTGGAGTCGTCGCAGTACGATCGAAGATGCCGTATGCCTAAGGCCGAATATAATATTGACTATCCCCCAAGCGGTTAGCCTGCCAGCGCGGGCGCCGCTTAAGGAGGAATTCGCGCGCACAACCGTAGCTTTCCTTCTTCACACCACTCCTGGTGCTCTGCACCGACTTACTGCTGGATTTCCACAGCAGTTTGTCGCCTTAACACAAGCCTTCACTGGTCTTGTCGTTTATGGGAGTGGTAGATAGAATCTTCACTCTGTATCTGCTGCTCTTGATGGTGACATTTGACGGAAGCAGTTCGTTTTGTAGTGATACATTCCACTATCCACCTATCTAGTCTGTAGTCTGTAGTCTGCTTGGTCTATCTGGAGTCTTCTTCCTCTGCCTCGCGGACACGGTTCTCAGACTGTCGTAGCTTTTCTCAGTCCGGCCTTGCTGCGTTCAAGAAACGTAGGGCTGGTCGTGCTATGCGATGCCATTGAGGAGCCTGGCGGCGTGGCCTCCGTACCCATGTCTGCTGGCCATCCAGCCACCCAATGCCAACCAACTATCTCTCCTCATCTCGCGGAGGACTGGTGTTGCTGGTATGCCGAGAAGTAGCGCCTCTTTGTGCTTGCCCTTGCCCTTGCCTTGAGGTTCCAGGTGCCTCGCCTCACTCGTCCCCGCCCTCCTCCACGATCCTGGCACGGATGATCTTGACCTCGTCCATGGGCCGGTCTTCCGCGCCGGTCTTCACAAGCCCCATGCGTTGTATGATCCTCATGCCACTCTTGACGCGACCGAAGATAGTGTGCTTCCCATCCAGCCAGGGCGTCGGGGCGAGAGTAATGAAGAACTGGCTGCCGTTGGTGTTGGGCCCGCTGTTTGCCATGCTCAAGATGCCAGCACCGGTATGCTTCAGACTGGGGTCGATCTCGTCCTCGAACTTCTCGCCGTAGATGGAGCTGCCTCCCCTGCCAGTGCCGGTGGGGTCGCCGGTTTGGACCATGAAGTTGGGGATGATGCGGTGGAAGATGACATCGTTGTAGTAGCCTCTCTGCGCCAGTGTCGCAAAGTTCTTACAAGTCTAGAGAACACCATAAAAATCAGTACGAGGCATTGCAATGATAGAGGCATTGAAATGGCAGTTGGACGGGTAATATGTCTGTGCAACGGACCTTGGGAGCATGCGTGTTGTAGAGCTCTACCGTGAATGAGCCCTGGACAGGTTAGCGCCACCGGACACAGTCGATGTCGACATGCATACCATGCTCGTATCAAAAGCCACATCGGTCGCCATGATGGGATCAGGTGAATGCGCACTTAGCCCAATCGAAGCGCTTATGGGTGGCCGTCCAGCATGCGCGGGGGAGGGATGGAGTTGAGCTTTGCGGCGGCCGGAGCAGAGGCAGGCTTGGCATCCGATGTTCTGGTGAATCCCAATGACGGCAGGCAATCCGACAGCCCCGAAGCTCCGGTAAACATCGCCCCAAAACAACCATGGATTGTTCTTGAACCCTTGACTTTCTCTCACTCTCACATTATTCCTGTCCTGTCGCTTTCCACAATTCACTTCTAGGCCATTTCTCCTTCCAAACCTTGCCGAACGGCCTTCGCAGCCATCATGGACGAGGTTAGCCCTCTCGCGGAGTTCCTGGGCCAGGCGATCTACCAGTTCACCGCGATCAAGCCTCTCCTGCCCACCTACGGACATTTGCTCGTCTCCGCTCTTTTCCCGATCTATATCGGCGCCCACGCTTCCCTCTCGAAACCGTCCTCCGCCGCAAAGCCACCGAAGGGATCGCAGGAAGATGGGTACGAGTCGGACAATGAAGAGGAAGGCCCGGGGAACGATCGCAAGATGGAGGGCCTGGTGCCCAGCGATGCGTTGATGTTCCCTCTGACGGCCGGTCTCACCCTCGGTGGACTGTATCTGGTGATCAAATACATGGGCGCCGAGCTTCTCAATAAGATCCTCGGCTTCTACTTCTCGCAGATGGGCATTCTCTTCGCCGTGGCCTTTCTGAAGGACAGTCTTTCGGTTTTCCGGTCGTTTATCTTCCCTCGCAAATACAGCTCCTCCGGCAGAGCTTGGAAGCCGAAGCCTTCAGAGCGCAAGTTCGAGGGGGCTCGCGGAGAGGATACGGAGTCCTTGGAAGTTCGCCATTCTCCGCTGCCAGGCCTCTTGGGCGCGATCCCCTTGCCGAACACGATCCGCGCAGTGCTCTGGGCTTTGCGTGGCGTGGTATATTGGCGGGCTAGGCTCCGTGTCCATGTGCATCGTGTTGTCAGCGCCGAATGCTGGCTTGGCGTGCTCGATGTCCTCAGTATCACTATGGCTTTGCCTGCTATCGGCTACTTCACCTTTGTGACCAAGCCATGGTGGTTGACCAACTTCCTGGGCTTCAGCTTCTGCTACGGCACTCTGCAGTTCATGTCCCCGTCTACCTTCGTCACGGGATCTCTTATCCTGGGATCCTTGTTTTTCTACGACATCTACTTTGTCTACTTTACCCCGTTGATGGTGACCGTTGCGAAGAAATTGGACGTCCCCATCAAGCTGCTGTTCCCGCGCCCCGCGGGACCTGGAGAGGCGCCTGACACAATCTCCTTGGCCATGCTGGGCCTCGGTGACATCATCATTCCCGGTATGATGATAGGTCTGGCACTCCGGTTCGATCTTTACCTCTACTACAAGCGTAAGGGTATGCAGAAGGCACAGGCAGAGGGTAATGGGTTGGACTTCGTCAAGCCTGTATACCAGATTGCGACAGGAGGATGGGGAGAGCGCTTCTGGACCCGTTCTGTCACCCCCAAGACGCCGGAGGTGGAACCCCCGTACCACAACGCTCGATCGTTCCCCAAGCCGTACTTCACGGCGAGTATTATTGGATACGTTTTTGGGATGATCGCCACTCTTGTCGTGATGCAGATCTTTGACCACCCTCAGCCGGCCCTACTGTACCTGGTCCCTGGTGTTTTGATTTCCCTGTGGGGAACTGCCCTGGTAAGGAGAGAACTCAATGAGATGTGGGAATTCAGCGATGCGGAAGAAGAGGAGGAGGAAGATGAAAACGCGAGTGAGAAAAAAGACGACAAGAAGGAACCTACCGAACCCGCGAAGCAGGGCGGTTTCTTCTCCCGACTCTTTGGAAACGAGGCACCGTCCGAAACGTCCAAGAAGACCGAGGAGAGAAAGCCAGAGGCATCAAGCAGCGGCGAGGAATCTCAGGACCAGGAAACCGAAAAGAAGGACAGTGACGAGAAGAAGGACGATGACAGCAAGAACTTCGAGCTGTTCACCATCTCTCTATACCATCCTCGAAAGAGCGATAGCGAGACCAGCCGGTCCCGCAGCCCGTCGGAGAACAGCAAGCCCACCGAGGACGATGAAAACTGGTCCATTGTCGGGGGCACCGAACGGGACGTTGAACCCCCAGCCAAAAGACTGCGCAGGAGTCCCAGACACGCATCCGTGGACCCTAACTGAGCTCTCGCTGTTATTCTTCTCGGTTTCAGCCCTCTAAGTCTACACATCTGCTAGACACTACCGGATATTATCTATCCCCATGGCAAGCGAAGCCTCATGCATGATACACAATAACGAAAGAAGTGATGATCTAGAGACTAGGTAGGTAGCATGGTATCATTGAATGTAACATTAGCCCATTGTTCAAAATAGACAACAACAACAACACCAATATCATATCAATCCCATCAACACTGCTCCAGAATAGTCTTAACCTCCTCCCACCTCCTCTCCGAAACATCCACCAACCCCTTCAACTCCTTCCCATCCAACGCCCACCCCCCATTCTTCTCCATCTTCACAATCACCGTCTTCCCCCGCACCTTATCCACAACCACACACGCCCTCTCCTGGCTCAATCCCTCCTCATACCCATCCGGGTCCGCAAGCACCCACCTGCGCTGAATCCCCTTCCTATCACCCTCCTCAATCAGCCTCTCCTCCTCCGCATCAGGCACAATAACGGCCCTCCACCCCGCCGCCGCATCCGCCTCAAACACCGCGAACGAGCTCGCAACCGGCAATCCCCGCAGGGTCAACTTGCGCGCCTCGCCCACCACATCCGAACACACCACCATCTCATTGTCGACGTCCCACCACGCCCGCGGCAGCTTGGTATCACGCAACGCCGCTAACACCGCCGCCCACGCCGCGTCGAACGGATTCCCCGCCATCGACACAATCATGATATCGATATACAGGACCCAGAACGCCTTGACCTCGCCGTCTTTCCTTGCTGCCTCGTCCACATCCACATCCATCTGCTCCTCCGCATTATGCCGCTCCAGCTCCTCCCCGCCTAGACTGGGCGGCTGGTACCACACCCGCAGATCCTCCGCCCGGACTAGCCGCGTAGTGTGCAGCAGGTTCAGGATCTGGTGCGATAGCGACTGCGCCAGGGCGGAGGGCGGCGCGCCGGGGATGAACCCCGGGGCGCAACCCGTGCTGAGGGAGAGGTTCGGGACGAGGAGGTTGAGGTCTTGGATGTGCGATTCTTCGTTCGGGTCTTCTTCTTCTTCTTCTTCTTCTTCCTCCTCCTCTTCGTTTTCGGACTTGATGATCTTCCGGCGCTTGTTGGTGTTGGAGGAAGAAGAGTGCGACACGCTCCACGAGGCAATGTCGTCGGTGGGGAGGATCTCGGCGCGCACGCCGCAGACGGCGGTCGTGTCGCCCACGCGGACGACCGCGCTGCCGTTGGTGTGCGTGAGGGAGCCGGTGTTGGCGTAGGTGGTCCGGAACTGCGAGGGCGCGCGGCCGTTGGCTCGGATGGAGGGCTGGTTGCTTGATGCGGGGGGCGAGAGGTGGGCGAGGAGGTAAGCGTGAGGTTGAAGGCGGGCGAATTGTGAGGGGGGGAGGGTGAGGGATGGCGCTGTGGACGCCATTTTGGAAGGTGTGTGCTGGCGGTGCTGCTGCTGTTGTCGCTTCGCTTCTCTCCGGTTTGGTGTTGTAGAAGGAGGGCTTTAATTGAGCAGTGGGTTTAAAAAGGGTGGTTGTTTGTTCTGGTGGGAAGAAGACGGTGCTCGCGCGAGGTGCATTTTTCGGCGGCAGAATTCGGGGGGAATCAGCCGGGCGGTGAGTGGGCTTTGGGTCTCCCGGTGTCTGCTTAGACCAGAGCCATAATCCGATCTGGGCGGTTTCTCAATGGTGGGGATTATCAATTTCCTGTTTGAAATTATTCTATTTTTAAGTGCAATTTTTTTTTGTGTCTTGTTTCCTTGCTCAGACAGAATCAATTTCCAATATCACAACCACAAGGATGTACATATTGAGTTCAATGGTGTATAAGTGAACTCGCTCACTTACCTAATTCGGGTGCCGCCGCTTTTATGAGGGCAGCACGTGCTTACTGAACACGCACCGGCAGCAGCTCTGGTCACTTCCGGATTGCTCTGGCTCGCTCAGTCAGTAGATAAATAATCCCGGAGTGATAACTATGCTGCAATACAGAGAGAGCTAAGAAACTAGTCTTTAAAGATCTAAGATTCTTTACTGTGATCTAGTTCCGGCTCGGCACACACTGACAGCTGCCACAATAATACAATACTTAATCCCTGATGGGTTGATATCGAATTTAATCAACTATTCCTCCTGTATTCTTGTTCGCCTTGATGCCTCCCTGGTGTATCCTCCGCCCGTATATAGACTAGTCTGTGCCAAAACCAGTGTCTACTACCCCCACACTTTTTTATTGTTTCTCAAATCCTAGTGCCGAGATCTACTAAACTATCACTTTGTATTTGTTCCGGACAACAGCTGTTACCATCTCTCGTGATATGATATAGTACAGGAGCGTGCGATTACTGAATTGCTGTCAATAATATATACATTAATATAATACCAGCTACCTCTGTGCCCCTCCTGCATATTCCTCTATCAAGACAAGTACAAATAATCGCGCTAGAATGATCAGTCAGTCACGTTGGAGTGTGAATGCCCGCTTCTCGCCACCAGCATGCTGCTTGTTCGAGTCATAATCGGAAAGGTGGACGATAGGAATCGACTGGTAGAAATACTGCGCAGTATACCTATCAGACAAGGCCAAGCAGGATGGAACTGTGTGTTTTGGGTGAAAGAGGCTCTCGAAACCCTGGCGGCTGACGGCAAGGGCTTGGGCACGAATGTCATCAAGTGGGAAAACTTAGTTAAAACTAGCGGTGGAGGCAGGGGCGACCACTTCACAGCCCTACAGACACTCCATGGTCAATAAGTCTCTGGCTGAACCAGATGCCAATTGGAACCTTAAACGGCAGAACTCCTTTCCTGCAGACCCGTCCAATGGTGACGTGTCAGGGACCACCTTGTGTTTGGACTGGGTGTTTATTAGTTCAAACATGATCTATATATATGGAAGAAACTAGATTGCAGATGACATATGTACACTCGATGATGAGCGACAAGCAGATATAAAACAACGTGCAGAGCAGGAGTAATCTATTGTGAAGGGTATGCGCAATGGAAAGGGTATCAAATGACTGGAATAGATGGAACGCCACAGGCAGCAAAAAGCAAACCAAAAGGAACATGGAAATGAGGATATCAGTGCATCTATACTTCTAGATATGAGCCAGGTCAGTCACAGCCGTTGGGGCTCATCGTCTGCCTTGCGCTTCCTGCTCACGCCTTCATCGACTTCAAAGAGCTTGGAATCAGAGTCGGCGAATGGCTGTACGCCGTGATCCTCGTCATCGTCCTCTGCTTCGACTTTCTCCCAATCGTCATCGTCATCTCCAACTGACGTCTTACGTTGGTCTTTGGGGATGTCTTGAATCTCGTTGCGGGATGGTTTGTTCCCCTCGTTATCAGCGTCAGTCCACTGGAGTGAGAGTTTGACAATCCGAGCCCCGGACGGCTTCAGACGGCGGTAATAGTTCTCCACCACCCCATCTTCTACTTGAAACCCACGCGCAACGTACCACTTCAGACCTTCGTCATTGGCCTCGTGGACGTGCGCGGTGACGGTGCGGATGTTGTAATGTTTCACCAACTCCGAGACCTGCTGAGCCGATCGGGGACCCGGAGACCCAGAAGACGACAAATCCGAGTTAGAGAAGAGCAGCGAGTTGAGTAGAGAAGCCGCGATTCCATATCCGCGATACGGGGAGAGTAGATGGAGAGTCTGGATGTAGAGATTCGTAGGCTCCGAGGTCGAAGTACCTTGCAAAAGCTCCGCGGTAGTAGGCGGCAGTCGCTCGAGCCGACACCTGATCCCTCCGATCACCTTGTCGGTCCCTATGGCTGGGCTTGTTAAGGAGGGGGGTGTCGCGGAGGCGGGCGCGGCTGCTACCGGATGATCGTGGTAGATGGCCACGCGGGACAGTGACGCGATCACGGGGTCGGTGATGGTGGCTGTGTAGAAGGAGTTGGGATAGCGAATGGGAAGCAGCAAGCCCGTGATCCGAGTGAGCGAAGGGATATGCGCTGTGCCCACTAACTCAACGGTGACGTGCGGGTGCGGAGTTGGGTGGGCTGATGCGATGGGATGGGGATAGGGAGGCGCTTGGAACGAAGGGTCCCGGCCGGTTGGAGGTTGGAATTTGGATGCGAGGTTGACAGAGGGAGAGCTGGACTGACGGGGAACAACGAACGGTGGCGGACCTTTGGGTGGTCTGGCCGAGGGGTTGTTTGACGCCGAAGATACCGGCGCTGGAGGCTGAGGGGAGGACAAAGGTGGAGAAGCGGGCGTGGGTGCCTTGGCCTGATGCGCCTTTGCGAAGAACTGGTATGCCATAGTGACTGTCAGAGCGAGAGGAAGAGACAGACCGCCGCACCGATTGAAGTGGATACTGGGGGCGGTTGAACGGTCGGATCGACAGGAGAGTGGGGGAGGGTAGAGAGGGAAGAGGAGGAGGGAGAAAGAAGGAGGGGAGAGAGCAGCAGGGCAGAGAACAAGAGGGGAAGCGCAAGGCAGCGAAGCGGTGGACGGAAACGGCCAGGCAACGCGGAGATGAGATAAGATAAGATCGGGGCGGTCGGACGGCGACGGACTGGAAGGCTGGAAGAGGCAAAGGCCAGCGCAAAAGAGCCTCTCTCCACGTCTCCCCGATCCAGGATTGCCCCTGGTCCTGCCCCCGTCCCTGCCCTCGTGGTCGGACTTTTACCTGCCTCGCTCCCTTTGCCGCCTCCCCTTTCTATATATGTGAAACTGATCCCAGGTAAGTCGCTCCCCCGCCGGTCGTGACGACCGTGCGCGCAGGTCCGCTGATTCTCCCTGCCGTGGGTTTCCCGCCCCCCCCGGGTAATAGACGCCATTCACCTCCGCCAGGCAGATGGACCCTACGGGACCCTACGAGCTATTGTCCTCGCGTGCTACTCCTTTGCAACCTCACCTTTCGGAGGAATACGGGCGCCCCTTGACTGTCTCCTTTTCTCGGGCGAACACGGACGCTGTCATCGATTACGACACTATCTCCTCACATCCGCATCCGTGAGAACCTGCGAACTCCAACCACCACGTTTCTAAGACCTCCTGCGCGAACTGCATGGAGCTGGGACACTGAAGCTGGAAACAAATATTGGAAGCCGTGCGAAAGCGATCGTTGTAAACATTGAACGTCCTGCCCACAATTGACGCTGTCATCGCTACGGGATATACATCAGCATTAAGGTGCGTTTGGATTGGGGTCTTTGCTTGTGGCCCTGTTCGTTGGGTTTGAGGGAGTTTGAGGGGGTTTTCGTCGCGGAAACTGCTCTAACATACGGATGTACCTTGGAAAAACACTGCAGCTTGGTTTGATTTGGGCGGTTTCTGCATTCATCTCTGCCTTCTCGTTGCTTGGTCTTATTAAGATTTAGGTTTCTCCAACTAACATCCTGCAGAATTGAAAGGCACTGTCGAAAATGGGTGAATCAAATGGAACAGAAGAACATGGGAGTTCCCTTCCTCCAGGGACGCTAGCCAAGTTGGTATGTCGCGACTGATTGGACTTTTCTTCAAGAGCAATGCGTTATCTATTAGAAACTGACTCGACCAGACGTGCGATATCCTCAACGATACGTTTTACAACATCATACATGACATTGTTGCCAAGGTTCACCGTGATGAAAAGGTCGCCCGCATGCGCTCGGCGGTGGTTGCTGCAAGGCAGAAGGCCGATGAAGAGGCAACCAGGCGACGCGAAGAGAGCGGCAAGCCGGCCGTTGCCTTCAAACCCGGAGATCTTGATCTGGAGGAGCTCAAAGACATACACGTGGAAACTGAGGCGGCTGTCTTCGAAGAAGGCAAGGTATACCTGAAGGGTAATCCTCTCCAGACAACTAAAGAGGTCATCTGCCCTGACTGTCGATTGCCCCGTCTCCTGTACCCGTCGACGGGCGTTGGAGCCCGGCCGCCGCCAGATCCGTACCGCGAGTACTGTCAGAAACAGCCGATGATCAGCAAGCCGGGGCATGATGTGCATGGAAACCCGTTCGCCACGGATAAACTGAATCCCAAGAAAAAGAAGCAGACGAACACGTCAAATACGCCAGCATCGAGTCCTCCTACGACGCCTGACAGTTCTTTTAACAAACAGGCTGCCCCGGAGAAGGTCTCATTCCCGACTGTCAAATGTCCCAACTGTCCAAGGTACTTCGTGGTCACTCGGGTTGCCCAGCATCTGGATAGATGTCTGGGTCTATCGGGCCGACAGACCAACCGCAACAAGACCCCCATGGAAAATGGCGCCAGCACCCCTACTTCTGCTCCACCCAAGCGCCCGTTGGTCGATGACGACGCCCCAGCAACACTCCCAAAGAAGAAGAAACTCGGGGCTCCCAAGAAACTGACCAGCAACAAGCCACCTCCGCCCAGCAAGCTGAAAAACGGACTCACCCCAGACATGGCCGCGGCGAGCGACGCAGCTGGCTCCGGTGACGTTGACATCAAAAGCGAGGCGAACGGGGATAACGCCTAGCCTTTCTTCCTCTTCCCCTTCCCCATCCTCTTCTTCTTCCTCTTCTTCTTCTTCCTCCTCCCCCTCTTATCTTATCTCATCATTCATATCTACCCTCCCCTTCCCCAATTTCCTCCCATGCCATTGCTTTTGCTTTCTCGCAGACATGCGGGTGTGTCTGCCCGGAGACGAGACACTGGACATAGTCTCCATTGCTTAACGATATTGACGTAAATACCCGGCATCAACGGCGTCAACGGGAACCTACCTTAGTATCTCTATCTCTCACTCACCCATCGAAATAGGCCAGGACGTGCTCGACGTCATCTGAACCTTTTTCGCCGTCTTTCTTTTTGTCTGATACAGGTGTTTGTTGCTTTGCCTTTCTGGGATAGATGCTTTCGCGGGTGATGTACAATAGGGACTCTGGCTTTATGCTGGCTCAGATTTACACTGCCAATTCGATTCGATTGGATTTGATTTGATTTGATACATACTTGATGGTAGGGCTTTGGGTCTCTGTGGGTGGTGGTCTTGGTGAATGGCTGCGTGATAAGGTAGGGAATTATTAGCTGTCGTCACTGCTGTAGTCTCTAGTTGTTGAAGGCATCGCAGCCGATGAATGGTTGTCTGAGTCTACTGCAGGTGATTTGTAGCCGGTCGGTGATGATGATTCACTTCTACATAGAGCAGCCAAGCTGGCATATGAAAGCAGGAAACCATTCTCGGAGCAACTTGGCATCTTACAATTACCACCATCCAACTATCATATTACCATAATTATAATCATCAGCAAACGCGAGGATCTTGATATCATACTACTTCACAGGAGATACTAGTCTTCCTATGTCCATATTATGGCAGATATCCTAAATATCGATATTGAACCAAAAGTCCGCGGATACTATTCGATATCTACTTCCCCGCCAGGAGGAGCACACAGATGAAACATCTATTTGTTACAACATCTGGCCATTGACGCGGAGTATATATCGCACATTTCTATCCGTATCCTGCATACCTAGGTTACCCTGTCCCCACGGATAAACAAGCGCAACTCGGATTCTTGCCCAGCCTACCGTTCCTCCAGATATACATCCCGAGGCGTGCAGACCCGACGAAGATCTTGAACGTTGAACTTCAGCACGAGCTTACCGACAACGGAAAGAAACCGCTGGGTCGTATACCATCGGGACCGTACACGCAGCAGTCAGTGGGCATTCGAGAAAGTGAAGTGCCACGCTCAGAAACCCGGACACCCCTACTCCTAGGAGCTGGCGGGATATCATGTTTGATTGGGGGCAAGACATGCCATGCCTGTTTCCAGATCACATTCGACATGTGATTATGATTTAGCATTATATCGATCCTTAGTCTGCAAGACTATCAAGATCATGTGGAATTGGGTAGTATGCTTTCACAACGCATGGCCTCGAACAGATGTTCTCTGTCGGTGAATATTTGTATCCAGGGAGCGGATATTCAACAAGGGTAGGGCGAAGCCTCGTTCAGTTCAACAGCTCGGATATCTTGATCGAGCGTGAGAGTCTTCGACGATATGTGGTGAGTTTCCTGTTCAGAACCCAGCCCCAGACTGGCTGCTCTCCGCAGCATCATCATCCAGGGCTTGGGACGAGAAGTAGACTGTACTAGATATAGCTTAGTATGTTTTTGTATATAAGAGAAGAAAGGAACTGAATAAAAGAATCGAGGAAAGTGTCCAGAATATAAAACATACTACCTAAATGCTGTGGTATACTTCGTCAACATAATGTATGCCTTACAAATCTGGCCCCCACAACACATGTCATCACTCACGATGGCTCACCCGCCCGCCGCCGCCGCAATCTCATTCTCATCCTCACCTCCAATCCCAATCCCAATCCCACCTCGGACCCAGCGTCCGTCATGAAAACACACCTACTCTATAACCTCCAGCTCCCTACCACCTCGAAATGAGCAACCCCGGCCTCATCACCTGGGGCGTGCCGCGCCTCGCCCAGCTTCTCCCGCTGGACGAGGAGTCCCTCACGCAGATCATCACCTACACGGCCAGTCTCTCGAAAGAAGAAGGCGCCGAGCACCTCAAAAACTTCCTGGGAGATTCCCCCGCCGCCTTCGAATTCATCGCCGCCTTCAGCTCCCGTCGCGAGCCCCCGCCGCCTGCCCGATCGCCCGCGGTGCCGTCCGTCTCCAGCGGGGTCTCACCGTCGTCCACTACTCCAGCAGCCCGGAACACCACCTCCGGAGGGAAACGAGGCAAGAAGTCGAAACCGCCGCTCCACAGCGCCGGACCGGTCCGTCGGCCTGAGAATTTCGGAAATGTGGTGGGCGGATATCGAAAGGGCGACCAGGATGAGGATTACATGTCGAGTAGCGGCAGGAATACGATGGGGAGACAGGATGCGGGGGCGGGAGCAGGGGCAGGGGCAGGGGTAGGGGTAGGACCGCGGAGAGGAACACCGGAGATGGGTGGACTGTCGACGCAGAATATCCTGGCGTCTTCACGCGAGACATCTGCCACTTCGTCTCGAAACCAGTCGCCCGTCCCGCGACAACATACCCCCGCCGCAGCTAAGAATCCGCCGTCTGCGGCGGGGCCGGTCATCTCGGATCTTCTGCCGAATGTGAAGTCGAAAGCGGCGAAGCCTTCTTCGGCACGGGCTGGTGGGGGAGGAGGGGGAGGAGGAGGAGGAAGGGGCGGGAATGCGTTTGCGAAGGGGGGCGGTGCGCTGACTACGAATATGATCCATGATTTGACGGCCGCTATTTCTGCGTTGGAGATGTCTACGAATCCGACGCTGGGCGGCGAGGGGAGGAAGTGCAGCTGCTACGCGAGTATTCATCCGTTGTTTGAAGCGGCGCCGAACTGTCTGAACTGCGGGAAGATCATCTGCTCGCTCGAAGGGCTCCAGCCGTGTTCGTTCTGCGGGACGCGGCTGTTGTCGGATGAGGAGATCCAGAGCATGATTCGCGAGCTGCGGGCGGAGCGGGGACAGGAGAAGATGCGGGTTCATAATGAGGGTGTACACCGGGAGGACGGCCCGGGTCCGGGATCGGGGTCCAGCAAGCTGGACGCGGCGAAGGCGCATCGCGACAAGCTGCTCCAGTTCCAGGCGAACAATGCGAAGCGGACACGGGTTGTGGACGAGGCGGCGGATTTCGAGACCCCGAATGTTGCGTCGACGCTGTGGATGACGCCTGCGCAGCGGGCGCTGGCCCTGAAGAAGCAGCAGCGGGTCCAGCGAGAGATGGACGAGAAGGCCCGGCCGGAGTGGGAGAAGAAGAAGACCATCATGAGCCTGGATATCAAGGGGGGGCGGGTGACGAGGGTCTACCAGTCTGCGGGGCCCGCGGAGACGGGTCCGTCGGCCGAGGAAGACGCAGAGGAGGAGCTGGCGGATGGAGGCAGCCGCGAAAGCAGCGGGAAAGCCTTCAGCCACAACCCTCTCCTGGCGGCCGGAGGGTTGCTGCGACCGGTCTGGAAGCCAACGGACGGGGAGCAGCCCGACGCGGAGCGCAGGGAGCGGAAGCAGGCCTCTTGGCGGAGAGTGCAGGACGACAACGACGACAATGAGCAATGGATTCTGGATGGTGGCTTGCACGGTCATACCTGAGGTGGTCTGGGAGTGGCCACAGCCAGCCAACCTTGACCACCACCACCACCAGGTCTAGCCGAAGCATAACCGAGCATTGAGCCCGTCTGTGCATGTGGACAGTGGACAGGTGACAGCCAGCGAGACAGCCCCAGTCAACCAACCCACTCCGCTGATAAGACCTGCCGCGACGAGCACGCAGTGATTGGGCCAGCCTGGCCGTGGATGTCACCAACTGTGGCATATTAATCGGACTTGGATGGATGGTGGATGGTGGATGGTGGATAGCGGATAAGCGGTCAATCTCCTCATCATCCTCGGCAATGCTGTTCCAGTTTCAAATAGATATCATATCCATCAGAGACAAACCGACAAACCGACTCAACCCGGATATGACGTGTGACGCGCAGCAGGCCGGAAAGAGCTGCACTGCACTGCTCGGCACTGCTCTGCAGCTGCGGCTGCGGCTGCGGGCAGCATCAGCATCAGTGTACTATTACAAATGCATGACCTATCTCAGAACTACCACTATGGAAACCATCTCCTGTACCTATCTACTTACAGTCAATTAACTCCCCCTCCCCACTCCCACACAAATCTCCCGCGTATACGGCATACGTATCCAGAATACGAACCTCCCCGGAACCCCCGGACCCAAAATGTTCATCAACCTTGTATCTAAGAAACTCAAAGGATGAGACAACACAAGCAAACAGACAGACAGACAGACAGACAGACAGACAGACAGAGAGAGTAAGAGCCCTCTCTCTCTGCTCAAGTAATCATCGCCACGATGACGCCCCCGACCCAACCAACCGACCGACCAACCAACCAACCTAAATTTGGTGTGTCCTACCTAGCTAGGTAGTTAGTTCACCGAGACATGATTAACCTAGGTAGGTAGGTACTAGGTAACTAGTCACCTCGTACCGGAAAAAGACGAAGAAGAGGAGAAAGAAAAGCAAAGTAAACCCGTAACTAACCGAGCAGAGAGGACTATATAACAGCAGCCAGCAACCAGCAGTCTCCGGGGGGGGGGTTGGTTGGTTTGGACGTACCAATCTACCTATCTACTCCTCTTTTCTTCCCTTGGACCTATCTATCTATCTATCTACCCACCTGGAGCTCAAAAATCGGGGGTTGTTTCATCAAGGCCCTGTCAGGATCCAGGACTCACTAGTGTGGCACTGACATCGTCATTGCGGGGAATTTCCCTCAGCTTTTGTTTCCCCGCTCGGTTGGCCGCGGGTACCCTCGGTGATTAGGTTGTTTCCCTCCGCGGACTGACTGTAGTTGGTCTAGATACTACTACTATCTACTACTACTACTACTACTACTAGTATAGACGAGACGAGACGGGACGGGACGAATCGGTCTTGCTGGCTGGCTGGTTGGCTGACTGGCTGGCTTGCAGCTCTATTGATCCTTGCAGGCGATAGCGCGTGCGTGATATTCTTCTTGCAAGATAGGTGGGAAGTGACCTGCAATATGCTGGCGCAGATTGGCTGGAAGGTCGTTTCTGTGGACCGCGTTGTGGTGGGCGTTGTGGGGTTGCTTTTGGGGTTGGTATGTTCTTGTCTCTTGTCTTTCCATCCATACATCCTATCTATCTATCTATCTATATTCACATCCACTTCTATTTCTCGGACCTAATCTAACATTCGACAATCACCAGTCCCTCATCTACGCCCTCTACAACCGCTTCCTGCACCCCCTCCGACGCATCCCCGGCCCGATCCTCGCCTCGCTGACCCCGTGGGTGCAACTGTACCACGGCCTCCAAGGCGACCGACACCTGTGGCTACACGCCCTGCACCAGCAATACGGGTCGCACGTGCGGGTGGCCCCGAATTTCGTCTCCGTCAACACCGCCCAAGGCCTGCACGACATCTACGGCCACGGCAAGCGGCTCCAGAAGGCCGACTTCTACAATGCCTTCCCCGCTATCAAGGGCGTGTACAACACCCACAACGCCATCGACAAGGTGATGCACGGGCGGAAGCGTCGCGTGCTGAGCCAGGCTTTCTCGGACCATGCGCTGAAGAGCATGGAGGACGTGATGCTGTTGCATGTCCGGCAGCTGTGTGCGGGGCTCGGGCGTCTGCAGCAGAAGACCCCCGTCGCGCAGGATATGGGCCGGTGGTTTAGTTACTTGACCTATGATGTGATGGGCGAGTTGTGTTTCGGGAAAAGCTTCGATATGTTGATCGAGAGTAGTCGGAGACGGTTGATTGAGTTGGTCGATCGCGCCGCGAATAGGCATTATGTGGTATGCTTCCCCTCCCTTCCTCTCAGCTTTTGCAAGAGTTGAATTGGATGCATTGATGGATTGATACTGACTGACCGACCACAGTGCGGACTCTGGATGCCGCTCGACCGATGGCACCTGGACCAAATGTTCATCCACCGTCTCACCAACGACCGGTGGAACTTCATCATGAACTCGCGGGTGGAAGCGAACAAACGGGCGCAGGAGCGCACGCTGGCCGGCCACGACTCCAAACGGGACTTCTTCTACTACCTGCTGAACGCGCGCGACCCCGAAACCGGCCAGGGGCTGACGACGCCGGAGCTCTGGGGCGAGGCCAACGTGCTGATGATCGCGGGCAGCGACACGACGTCGACGACGCTGGCGGCCACGGTGTTCTACCTGGTGCGCAACCCGCGGGCGATGGCGCACCTGACGCAGGAGATCCGGTCGAGCTTCGCGTCGGTCGAGGAGATCGTCACGGGCCCGAAGCTGAACGAGCTGGTGTATCTGAAGGCGTGCCTGGACGAGGCGCTGCGGCTGGCGCCCGCCGTGCCGGGGGCCCCGCCGCGCGAGGTGATGGACGGCGGCGCGCTGGTCGACGGGGTTTTTCTCCCCGGCGGCACGGACTGCGGCACCCCAACTTACTCCATCCACCGCCAGCCGGACTACTACCGTTTCCCCGCCGCGTATCTCCCCGAGCGCTGGATCGAGGGCGCCGTCTGCCACTCCGGCTCGGAGAAGTGGGAGACCACCCGGGACGCGGTCGAGCTGGCGCGCAGGGCCTTCTGTCCGTTCAGCATCGGGCCCCGCGGCTGCATCGGCAAGAGCATGGCCTTCATGGAGATGCGGCTGACGATCGCGCGTCTGCTGTTCCTGTTTGACGTGACGCTGGCGGATCGTCGCGGGGAGGACGCCAACGGGCATCTGGCCTTGGTGGACCATTTCACCAGTTCCAAGGAGGGCCCCAATGTGTTGGTGGTGCCGAGGAGTGCATAACTTGCTAACTGGAAACTAGCAGCTTGCATTGCTAGTTGTATTCTTAGTTGCTTTGCTTCCATCGCACAATGAATGCTTGCACATTAGGTATTTGTAGAGGTGAAACCGTCTCAGTCATACACAGTACATAGTTAAGTAAAATAAGTGTTATAATAAGGACACGTGCCCGCCCCGGTTCGGTCCCGCCGCGGCCAGACCAGCCAGAGCCAGGCTGGCTCTCCCCTCCCCGTTCGTTGCCAACCACCACCACCCTCAACTATGTGCGGTGAATAGCAACAACATCCACTCGTTTTTTCTTTTCCAAATTATTTCTCCTCTGTTACCATCAATCCGCTTTTTATCACTCCACTCCACTCCACTCTACCCCCATGGTCTGTCCTACCATGATGGTGTCCGCTCTTTCTCCTTAACCGGCCCCTCCCATTCTTTATCCATCATCCATCATCCATTTACCCACCATACCATACCGACTTGATTAATAAAACAGACAGACAAACCACATAAGAAAAGGAAGGCATCAGAAAAAGAAAACCCATAAGAACAGGAAAAAAAAAAAAAAGACATAAGAAAAAGGGAAAGAGAAAATGCCCCGAATCTCCCCCCTAACAACCACCTTCCTGCAATCCACCCTCCTAAACGCCCTCGCCAACATCCTCGCCCAGATCATCGATCATCATTGGAAAGCCGTAAGCCCTTCCCCCTTTCCCCCTTTCCCCCTTTCCCCCTTCAAGATAAGAAATAGGTATAAATATATTTAAAAAAATTTTTAAAAAAAATATATATATTAAAAAAAAAAATACAGAAAGACAAATTCACTCTCAACAACGCCGCTCTCATCCAATTCATCATCTATGGGATTCTGATCGTGCCCATCAACTTCTACTGGCAGCGGTGGCTGGAGAGGCGGTTTCCGGGCTTTCCTTTTCGGAGATCTTCATCGTCTTTATCTTCATCCGCGGCTTTGGCTCATGGTCATGGTCATGGTCATGGGCATGGACTTCATTCCTACCCGCTTTCTAAACAATCGTCTACCAACAAGAATGATGTGTATATCTCCATCCCTACAGACACTATCACTACCGCTACCGCTACTACTGGTACTGGTACTACTACCACAGTGAAAGAGAAGCCCTTCCAGCCGCGCAGCCGGATTACCATGATAGGCAGGATGAAAGGATCGCCGTGGTATAACTTCACGATGAAGTTCCTGCTTGATCAGAGTGTCGGCAGCGTAATGAATATCGTGCTGTTTGTCGTGTTGATTAATTTGTTGAAGGGGGAGGGGGTCGCCAGGGTGGGGGAGTTGGTTTTGGAGGTTGGTCTTTTTTTTCTTTTTTATTATCTCTTTTTGCTGCCGCTTCTGCTTTATTGTCGTCATCTGTTCCCCTCTAAGTTTTCTCCCCCCCCCCCCCCCCCAACCCAAACCCAAAATTCCATTCCATTACTTTAGAATTGAAGGATGAGGAACGAACGAGGGATGAAAGGCCCTAAACATAAACATCAACATGGAGCATTGGTCATGACATGAACCACACAACGTACTAATATAAAACACAGGACTTCAACCCCATCATGCTCGCCCGGCTGAAATACCGCCCTGTCGTCTCGATGCTCATGTACACCGTCGTGCCTGTGGATCGCCGCGTGGTGTTTGGGAGTGCGTGTGGCGTTGTCTGGGGGGTGTATTTGAGTTTGTATGCGGTTGTTTAGTAGTCTCTCTTTTCTTTTCTTTTCTCTTCTTTTCTTTGTGGCTGTTTTCTTTGCGTCTGTTTTCGTTGCTTCCCTTTTCTTTTTATTTCGTTGCTTCTGTTGGGTTGGGTTGTTGCATCGGTTGGTTGTGGTTTTGGTTGTGGTTGTTGTTGCTGTTATATAGCGTGGGTTTAGCAAGATACCCATTCTACATACCCATCTATCTATCTATCTACCTACCTATCCACCTACCTATCCACTTACCCATCTACTTACCTACTACATCCCACACCATGTCCTCACTATCATCCATCCTAGGTATATCAATCCACCCATATAATCATTATTACTGTATCACGGTAAGATAGTAGATCCGATCACCAAACAGTACTATCCCAGAACAGAAAAAATAGCGACTGGGATATCTATCAAAAGCACCTCAATGAGCTCTCATCCCTCAGGTCAACTCAGATGGTAGGTAGTGATTGACGATGTACCATGCTGGATTTGATTCATGGCGCGGGTTGGGGTTAGGGGAGTGTGAGGTGAGGGGAGGGGGGGGGTGGGCTCGGTCTACAGTACAGACTATCACTACGGATCCTGGAAGCAAAGATGAAAAGAAGAAGAAAGAAAAAATAAAAGTCTATTCAGCAGAGAGAGACTGCGGCTGCAGCCTCCCACCCAAGACAGACCTAGACAGGATAGTCGGTTTCACTGAGAAGATAAGCAATTCATTCAGACATAGGATATATTCAAGTCCCGATCCCCACAGTACAACGCCAGAAACCCAGTCCCAAACCTCCGTCACCAACCGCTGCAAACACCTAACCAATGCGGAAATACGAGCCACAAGCTAATTGGACCAACACACCCCTTATTGGGCCTTCATCCGGGCATCTTCCTTGCTGGCAACCAGGGCAATCAGAGCGGCTCCCACTCCACTGCCATCCTTCGAGATACCGATGCGGATCCTCTTGTCGCCGGCGTCTCCCACCTCGGGCACTTCGCGGAAGGCTTCGCGCACGTATCCTTCGAAGTTGGGGTAGTACTCGACAAGACTGCCATCGACACCGATATCAACCAGGTCGCCCTTGTCCAGTCTGTTGGTGGCGATGAGGACGGCCGAAAGCGCCACGGCGCCCAGGCGAGCGGCGCGCTTGCCGATGGCGTGCACCACGGTCTGGATCGCCTTGCAGTCCGCGATGCTGGGACGTTCGATCTTCAGGTGGTCCTTGAGAGCCGCCTTGATCTCCTCCAATCCTTCCGTCTTGTCCGCCTCGACCAAGCTCAGCAAGCTCGTGTCGATCCCCCACTGCCGGTACAGGGACGACGTCTTCGGAACGGACACGTCCGAGGACGCGCTGGTCTTGAGGAAGCCCAGGGACTCGTTGCGATGCATGTCCAGCATGACAAGGCGCAGGATCTCGCCCAGGAACATCCCCGAGACCCGCTTCTCGAACATCTGCACGCCCGGGTTGATGCTGTCCGCATCCAGCTGCTGGTCGTAGACCGTGTTGGGCAGGACGCTCAGGTGGTTGTCAAAGCTGCCCCACTCGGCGTTGATGATCATCTCGCCCGTCGTCTTGTCATACTCCGAGTGCTCGATGGTCTGCATCTTGGTGATCCGATCGAGCTTCTCCACGTAGGCGCCGTTGGTGCCCGTGCCAAAGATGGCGCCGAGGAAGGTCCCAGTCTCGCCAGGGGAGGTGTACGAGCGGGCCATCAAGGTTCCCACGGTGTCATTGACCAGGGCGGCCACGCGCACCGGGAGTTCCAGCTCGTCAATGGCGCTCTGCAGCAACGCGCAGACGTCTTGGCCCACGGCGTCAGGGATGTCGAACCCTTTCGTCCAGCGAATCAGGGTGCCCTTGTTGATGCCCAGCTGACGCACGGGGAAACTGAACGTGAAGCCCAGGTCGAACAGGTCCTCCTCGCAGTTGCCGTTCTTCTCATTGCGGCGCCGGATGTGAGCCTCGAAGTGCTCGTTGTGGTGGATGCGCAGGAAGGACTCGATCTGGCGGGCCAGGAACAGGAAGAGCTCCTTGGCCGACCCCGCCGACATGGTCTCGCGCGGGATCATGATCTTGGACTGGGTGAGGGAGAAGGTGGTGTCGCCATGGAGGTCGATGGAACACACGCGGAAGTTGGTACCGCCGAGATCTACTGCCAGGTACAATCCCTGTCACCGGGTCAGCTGCAGCCCTGCCGAGGGTGTTTATTGGCTAAACTCTCACCTTTTCCGTGCCATTGGGTACTGAGGTCACAAAGGTTGGGATCTGGCTGAGGGTCGTGTGCTCCTTGGTCAGGCCCTCGTTCATCTGGCGGATGTACTCCGCCACCCCGCGTCGCACCTCAGCGGCGGGGTAGTCGAACTGGCGGGCAATCCGCGTAGCCTCATCGAGGAGAGCAGACATGGCGATGAGCGTGATGAAGTATAGCAGAAAGAAGAAGGTAGACGGGAGACGAAGGACGAGAGGGTGTGGAAAGTGAGGGAACGGAGCCCTTTAAGAACCCACGGGGGAAAGTGTAGGGGAAAGTCGGGTGGTGGGGTTCCACGCGAGGTGGGAAATATGGGGAGGGGCAGAGGGGGGAAGGGAAATGGGGATAGTACGGAGGAGTCGGGCTGATGAGGGGGCAGAAGTGGAGGAACGCGGGATGAGACGAAGCCGCGAGCAGACACGAGACGAAGCCAGAATGACCCTGCGATGATGAAGGGGATACGAGGCGTATTAATAGGGAAGATAGCTGGACGTGGAGGGGTCGATGAGGTCAGTCCGACGGGCGAAACCAACGGGAAGGCCGGGTTCGCCGGCTTTCCACTCGTGGCTCTGGTTTCCCTTCACGCGGAGTCTCAGGCCCTGAGTCTCCCGACTCTGCCTCCGATGTCTCTGTCCAGTGTCCAATCCGAGTGCTCACTGCCCAGTGTCCCAGATTTCCAGATTCGCCCTAGTGTGCTTCTCTCCAGTCTCCAGATGTCCCTCCTCGCGCTAGTACTGACTCGCTTGCAAGACGGGGTTGTGACGAGTCGGTAGCGAATCCGCCCGCGCTATTCCATGACGCATGAAACCGGACGGTGGGGTGAGTTGGGCCGTTGTTCACCGGTGAGTGCAATATGGTTTAGTCGCAAAAGGAATCGAAGGGGATATCAAGCTGGCCAGGGCACAATGCCATTCTTATGCGTCGGCGTCATGGGCTGATGCTGGAGCCTGGAGGGTATGGTAGTGTCCGGATGCGTCCGTCCGGGGTTGTATGGGGGAATGGAGGGGCTGCCATGAGCACACAGTACGACTGTGAGCATGGCCAAAAGCAGTCCATCCTGCCAGACGCGGAAACTCCCGAGGAGTAGCAAATAGACTTCGCCAATGCTTACTCCGTGGTGGTTATGGAATAGCCTGGATGTCAGCCAGAGTCAGACAGGATTTTAGAATTGGGTTGGCAAGATCTCAGCTGTCGACACGACAAGGGGTCCTGCCATCGAGCCACTCATTTCCGCATCGGGAAGGTATGGTCACGTGATGGGTGTAGACGCAGTATAGCAGTCAGGCACCACACTTACTCTGCATCATCACCTCCTACTACTTGAGAAAGGGGGATGGAAGGACACTCCATCCCCCAGAAAGCATTTCCAATGCTCCGACCGAATAGGTTGGTACTAAGTATCAGGACCTCCAGGAGATGCCTGAGCTCTCCTTTTACCGCAGTGATTATTTACTATGAAGGCAGAAGAGCTTCACTCTTGAGATTAGATTGCTCCTCAACCCATCTGACCCGGATGTTGTCATTGTTCAAAATCAAGCATGACAACCACATTAGCCGTACCCGTCGTGCAACAAAGCAATGTTCCCTGCCAAAGCCATACGGCAACAAGACAAAGGCTGATTTGGAGTCCCGACAAGGAAATTGCCGATATAAATTGGCTCTGCAAACACGAAAAGCTCCTATAAAAGCGACCAAGAACAAGACATCCTCCGTACTACCTATAGGCAATCAGTCAGCCCTGGGAACTATAAAAGCACCATGACAACCCCCTACAAGAGTATTGTTTTTATGATCGACCCAATACCCTCTATTCCATCCCACACCATCTTCAGCACTGGTTGACCGGTTCTTATCCCAAGTACGACATCATAACACCGACAACATGTCTGATCTCCATCTGAAGGAATACTGCGGTCTCCTCAAGAAGTCCGGGATGGCAGTGACACCGGAACACCGTGCAGTTGTGCGATTGCAGTATCCTCCCCACCTAATCGAGCAGGCTTACAAGGAGCTCCCAGATGTGAACGGGATGCCCGTCCAATCTTGGGAGATTTGCCTTCTCCGAAAGGCTCTGCGGACCTTGGCTCTAAGGATCGTAACTGGCTCGTTTAAGGATGATCCTCCCAGGCGAGCCTTCCTTGCGGTGTTTTTAACATTTGAACCTGCGTCTGGTTCCGCTAACGACGAGTACCTGGATCTGATGTGGGATATTTCCAAACTTCTGGCGGACTTGGAGCGTGGTATAGAGATGATCTTCCCCGTTGAGACTCAGAAGTGCACGGAGGTCTTTGTTGACTACCCTCCCTGTGTCTATGAGCCCACCTGGTATGCTGGTCTCGGCCTTGCTCCTTGGAATTAGGCGCGCTAGTGCCCCAGGTACTTACTACCTGCACTAGTGTGGAGTGTAGTTCGGTCTCCTTCTGCGGCCGTTGGTGGCGTTGGATGCGCCAGACGTAGTGAGTCGTCTCGACTTCTATTTCTTGAATAGGCAGGCTTAATTGCCTTTACTTTCATAATGAGACCATGTTGAATGAAGTTCTTATATCGCATTTGTAAATCATTCGTAATATCAAGGCGTAGAACAAAAGACTAATCAATGACGAAGTGTCTGATCTGTCGCCAAAGACATGTAGTAACCCATTCCGAACCTTCTCAATGGGTCGTTCTATATTCAAGTTAACCAAGAGCCTGCTACCGTCAGCCCTTCTTCGGAGACCAGGGCAAGGAGTTCCCCTTTTACCTCAGTAGCCTTCCATCGCCACTGACCGATTCTTTCACTTTGACAGACCACGTCATGACTCTGCATCTGTCCAAGCTATCTCATTATAATTGAGACTCTAAGCAAAGTGCAGTAGACGCTGCCCACTCCCTACATCTCCACCAGCTCTAGCAATAATATCACAGCCTGTCGCTTCTAAGTCCTGCTAAATCACAACTTTGACCCGACATAACTATGTCCGAAGGGGTCATAAGAGCCAGCATAGAGCATGACATGACCATATGTCTCATGTCTCCAATAACTGCCTCCTACCACATTAAAGCCACACATGTAGAGTAAACAAAGTACTGACCAGTAACACAGCCACTTGCTGAAGCTCACTCCTGGACGTTGGCTTTCCATAGAGAACACCAACCCCTCAGCCTGCTTGATACCATCCACAGCATGCAGCCATTCCATCTAGTGTCCTAGGTATATCGGTGTAGGTTTAAGCTTTGTCTCACGCGGATTGAAATCATCATCAACTGTGCCAATGCACAGGAGTACATCTTGACACAGAACATGAGGGAACTGCATGTTAAGCAGAAATTAGTTAGTCGCTAGTTGCCTGGTCTGATTCTTTGAGAGGGAAATCTGTGAGAAAGAGGAATGAGCTCACCAAGGCAAAAAGGCACCAAGGCATAACGTAATAAGGCACCAAGGCACCACTGTCTAATCCACGTGACCGCGGCGGAAGTCGGGACTCTCTCTCCAAGTCTCTCGCTCAACGACGCAAGAAGCGATTCCGTCCAACTCGACGAAACAGCGATTGCCCACGATCAGTTCTCTCGGCGGTCCTCGCGGTGTCCCCCTGACTTCACACGCTCTCCGCTCCGGCCCACGCATCCCACAGCCTCGTCCCCCGTCACGGGCTCGATCCGACAACCGCACAGCACATCATGGGCGCCGGCAGCTCCAAGCCCGCGGCTTCGGGCAACTCTGAGCACCTTTTCTCTGGGTAGGTGGACTACTTTGGAGGGGTGTTGGTGTATGAGGTCTGGGATGGGATGAGATGGGGGAGAGGGAGGGAGAATGTTGCGGTGGTTGCTACTAGATTTGTCCATGGAGATGAATTGGTCGACGACCCTGCCCTGCATACAGACTTCTCCGTCCGGGAAGGAAGATGGATTGATTCTCTTCTTCACTGGGGAGATACTACCTACCTACCTATCTTCCTCCCTGTCTACCTGTTCAGTCTCTACACAAACCCACACCTCACACTTCCATCCATCCATCCATCCACCCACCCATGTATAAAAAGCTAACACCCTCCAGCTCCGCCCCCGTCCAATTCTCCTCCAACCTCGTCGACTCCCTCAACTCCAACACCGAGGTACGTCCACCACCACCACCACCACTCCCCCTCAACCCAACCAAACCCCCCACCCTCTAACCACCCCCTTCAAAAAAAAAAAACAGACCGACTCCTCCCGCGCCCGCAGCCTCGAACTCCAAATCCAAGAGCGGGTCGCCCAAGAACTCGAGCGCATTCGCGCCCGCGAACAGCAAACCCTCGCGGAGATCGAAAAGCGCATCGCGTCGTCCAAGCCCTCCGCTCCCGCACCTGCCAGTGGCGTGTCCTACCCGGCGGGGTCGCTGAACCTGGACGCACCGCGGATCCCGTTCGCGGGGCGCGAGTCGTACGTTGCGCCTGCTCCTGCGGCGGTGGAGGCGGTGCCGGTCAACCGGGAGCTGTCGCGCGAGTCGGTGAACAGTGAGATCGAGGAGTTGAGGGCTAAGCTCGACGGACGGAAGAAGCTGATGGAGCTGGATCCGGGCCTGGAGAAGGCGAGGATGGATGTGGTGGGTTGTTTGCGGTTGAATGATCGGAGGCCTTTGGATTGTTGGAAGGAGGTCGAGGATTTCAAGAGGGAGGTCGCACGCCTGGAGGAGGGGTTTGTTGATCGTATTGTTGGGTAGATTAGTACGTACCTAAGGTACTTACTTACCTCCCTACCTACCTACTTACCTATGAATATGGTATGGTAGATTTGGTTTTGGAGGGGTAGACTAGGACTGGGGTGGTGGGCAGCCTGCCTGATTGACGTCTGGTGTTGTGTCTGGTCTGCCTGCCTGCCATCTGTCTATGAATAAAGGGAGTGGGTGTGGGTGTGGGTGTGGGTATGTTTCTCATGCCTGGATTTTTTTTATGTCATGGCCCAAGGGGCTTGTCGTGCATGCATGCTGTCGTGTATATGTATACCTAGCTAGGTGATAAAGTTACTGGATCATTGTTATGTAGTAGTTGATCTTCTGTATTATACATACTATGTATGGGTTTGGAGTGTAATTTTAGATTCAGCCTTCATCTTTTATCATCATCCTGTTTTTTTAAGATACATCCATCTAAAAGAAACCCCCAGGCCATTAATCCAGCTCCAGCCAGCTATCTAACCCAGGCCAATATCCCAAGGAACATACACAATACACAACCCCTAGTACCAGGATCTACGAATCCAACAACAAGAAGACAAGGAATAAAAGACAGGGTATCGTCTAAACGTCTAAATAAAGCCATCCATCCATCCATCCATCCATCCACACATACAAATACAAACACAAAGCAAACCACACACAAGACGAGAGAGACATCAGACCAGTTCCCAGAACCCCAATCTGCCCACCGTCTCGCCCGCACCCCTAATAATACACACATTCTTCCCTCCACCGGCAGCAGCAGTCTTCCCCTTCCCCTTACCCATTCCCACAACCTTCGACACCTGAATCGACCCGATCCCCGTCCCCCTGCCTTCCGAAAGGTTATAATTTCCCGTCGTGACAAAACCAATAAGATCAGCCTCGCTCGGCAGAGGAAGGTGATCCTGGCGGGCATCTGCATCAGCAGGGGGAGTGATCAGCGAGGCGGCGAGACGTTGTCGCGCGTCTTCCGCTGTAACTGCCGGTGTTTGCGGTTTCTGGGAGGAAGGGGGTGGAGTGGGAGTGGTGGATTTGAGGGAGAGCCATTTCTGACGAAGTTCGGGGTCGGTGGTGGGGAGACGGTAGATGCGGGCACGGGGAGTCGGGGTGCCTCGGTTGTGGAGGGAGAGTTTGACTGTTGCGAGGGATGCAGGGTTGATTGGGGTGGTCGGGGGGTTGTTGAGGGCGCGGGCGGCTTGGAGGGAGGGGAGTTGGTGGATGTTTAGCGGTGGTTGTTGGGTATCAGAGCTATCGTCACCGTTGCCATCCTTGGGTTTGGCGTCTTCGGACTGCTGGGCCTTGGAGTTGGCATCGCTTTTCTCAGCCGGGCCCTGGATGAGTCTCTCCCAATCACACGCCCAGCCTCGTCCGATCTCGCCCTTCTGGCCGTTCCGCAAATCAATGCTGTCGAACTCGACCCTGCGGCCCTTGGGACGCCTCTCCCATTCCTGTTTCGCCTGCTCCCTCTCACGCAGACCCCATTCCCAGCCGGCGCGCGTGCCAGGAAAATCACCCGGGAACCAAGGCTCCCCTGCCTCGAAGGCAAGTTGCTGCTGCTCCTTCAAGCCGCCGAATCGTGGGTTTCCGCCGCTCGACAGTGGGTAGTACATCAGCGAGTACCAGAAGGGGAGGAGACACTTCCACGGGAGGAGAACCGTCCAGCTCCCGGGGGCGTTGTTGCCGTTGGTGGCCTTGATGCTGGACCGGCATGCCAGCACCATGACTGGGATCTGCGGGTCCGTGTCTTTCGCCGGAGGGGGGATTCCGGGGCCAGCTTCGGTGCGGCGTCGGTTGATGGCTTTCTGGCTGGGCAGCTGGCGCGCAGCAGCCAGCCGTGCGCGGCGGTCGAAGAGAGCAGACGCCGTCTGGGTGGTGTCGGGAGCCCAGGCTGAAAGCAAGATAGCCAAATCTTGCATCTGGGTCTCCGAGGTGGGCGGCTTCAGCGTCGTAGGCGGGAACTGGAGACGAGGGTCGGAGACAGAGAAAGCGAGGATCGCGTTCTGCGGCAGAGACGACGCATTCGAGACCCCCAGCAGAGATTTCCAGGTCGCTTCGGGACTGTTCGCCGCGAATGCGCTCCCATCCGCAGCCGTCACGGGCTTCAAAGCCGAGATCAACGCCTCCGTCGACCCTGGCCCAGTCATCTCAATGCTTCCAATCTCGAACCGCAGATCCTCAACCATCACAGGCGGGTTCTGCCTCTTCGCAGCCCCCAGCAATTCATTCCACACCTGCAGGAATGCAGACGGATGCACCCGAACCAAGACCTTCCTCTTCCCCTTCTTCCCCGCCGTAGCATCCGCATCCCCCATCTCGACATCCCCATCCTTCGCTTCCGCACACCACACCAACATCACCGGCGCAATCGGCCTCCTCCCCCCTCACCCTCACCCTCACCCTCACCCCCAGAAACCCAAACCCTCAACCCCCTCTTCCCCCCCCTCCACTTCCTCCCCTTAACCCCCCACGCCTCCTCCCCCACCACGCCAACCGCCCTCAAAACCCCTCCAACCCCTCGACCCCTCCCTCCAGCCCCACAGTAGCCATATAACTAGCATCCCACGCAACCGCCCCCCTGGTGCCCCTCGCCCGATGCGTCGGCCGATAACTCTTCTCGGTAGGCGTAATCGGGAGCGCAAACCTCCACACCGGATCCCTAGAAGTCGCCATCCTGGCGCGCTTCGCATGAAACATATGCGTCGGCAACCACGTCTTACAGCGCTGACGTTTCCTAAACTTCGAGTCGGGCGGTGGTGGGCGAGAGAGCCGATTCTTCTTGATCTTGGGCACGCGCGGCGCGATCTCGAACGCGTGGCTGCCGGAGGCTTCGAGCGTCTGGCGGGATTGTTTGTCCTGCGCGGCTTTTGCGGCGGCGCGCTTGGCTTTGGATTTCGAGTTGAGGTTTTGTAGTCGGCGGGCGGTTTCGAGGCGGATGCGCATGCGTTCGGTGGGTTTGCGGGTGCGCGCTGTTACCGTGGGGGTGTTGTCTTCGAGCATCTGTAGTCATGGCCGGCCAGCCAGCCAGGGTGGTTAGCTATTCATATCCATATAAATGTACACACATCCACATTCACGTCCAAATCCACAAACCCATCCCATCCCCTCCCCTCCCCTCCCTCCACAAAACCCCCAACAAAAAAGAAAGAAAGAAAGAAAAAAAACCATACCTCCCTCCTCGCCCTCCCCCTCAACCGTCTCGGCACCCTCTTAACATTATGACTGGCGGTCCTGCGCCTCAACGACCTCGGCACCTTCTGGAACGCGCGACTCGTCAACGCCAACTTCGACCGCTGCATGCCCGACTCCAGGGACCGGATCTCGAATTCGCGCGCCGCGACATACGCCGCGACGTCGAGTTCGCCGGACGCGGAGAGCGCCGCATCGGCGGCTTGTACGGCGAGGGAGCGGGCATCGAACGTTTTGGCGCGCTTGCGGGCGGCGCCGGTGATCGTGTTGCTGTTGTTGCCGGGTTTGCGTTTGGAGGAGGGGTTGAGGGCCATTGTGGCCGTGGATATATACAAAAAGAGAATGATAGGATAGAAGAGAAGAGAGTAGTTGGTTCAAGGGGTGGGGTGGGGGGGGGAGTGTGAAAATGGAGCTGTGTAAGGCAGTAAGTAGTACTGCGGAGGTCGGCTGGAATGGAATAATTTTCCCGGCCGACAGCCACCGACGCACAAACAGCCACGCGCCAATGACGGCGGTCCGCGGCGCATCTCCCACCAACTATGAACTAAATCTAAGTAAACGCTTGGATTCTTTCTGTCGATCGCTGAGCCCGGGGTAGCCTGGCTAGCTGGTCCGACCGGATTTAAGGTTATTGGACTGGGGTCCAGCTACGATGCTACAGGTTCAGAATGATCTGACATCATACAATGCACGGAGAAACGGCTTTCGTAGCTTCGTAATGCGTTCATTCTTTTATCTAGCGGGAAGTCTAGTTCTAATAGTTGCCCTCGCAGGTCATTACCCCACCGTGAGAATGTCAACGCCTTCTATCAGGCCCATGCCGCATCAAGCGGGGCATTTACAGCTGCTTGAGGATAGCCTCGGCGCTGGAGAACTACGGGACTGTCAGTATCTGTTCCACCCATCATATCTAGTACGGTGAAGCTTACCTCGAGGTGGTTCTTAGCGGGCTCACGCTTGGCGTAGGTGACCTTGCCGTGGTCGAGGATGATGGCGTAGCGGGCAGTGCGGCCCTCCTCGTCAGCCCAGCCGATGCTCTTGGAGAACTTGGCATCGGGGTCGGACAGGAAGAGCTGCCGGCAGTTAGCCTCCAATTCCATTGGTAGACGGGGTAATAAAAGGTCTACATACGATGTCGTCGTTCTTGACGTTGTTGGCCTTGCCCCAGGCGCTCATGACGTAGGCATCGTTGTAGGCGAGGACGGCGACAACGTCGACACCCTTGGCACGGAGCTCGGGGAGCTTCTCCTGGTACTCGGGGACGTGGCGAGCGGAGCAGACGGGGGTGAAGGCACCGGGGAGGGCGAAGAGGACGACCTTCTTGTCGGCCCACTCCTTGGAGGCCTTGTAGTTGATGGGGATACCGCAAGAGGTGATCTCGCCCTGCTCCTCAGTCCAGGGGATGTAGCTGTGGCGAGGCACGGGTTAGTCTGTGTACAATGGACAGTGGACGATGTACAAGAGGGAACCGCAAGGTGTTGTGGCGAGGCAATCGACGCGAATGGCGGCCGGCGAGGGGAGGCGAGGGGCAGAGAAGAACTCACGAGAAGACCACGTCAGCGGGGAAGCTGTCACCGGCGTTGATTCCAGACATTGTGATGTGAGTTTTGGGGGGGGTAGTAGTAGTGAGTACTAGAGTGGGGGAGAGAATTGGTAGAAGTAAGTGGTTGGTAGATGGTAGATGGTAGATTGGGAGAAGAGGAGAGGGAGGGAGGGATGGGTTATATAGGAAGGGAAGGGCGAGGAAAGCGTCAGGGCGGGAAAGCGCAAAGGGCAGAACGGTCAGGAACGGCAACAGCGAATAACGCGGCGACGGCCCGCCCATGGCGCCGTGAGGTGATCCGAAGCAGAAGGATACCGAAACCTGTCGATTGGTACGGGGGATTATCAAGAAGACCGCCCGAGACTGAGGCGCCCCGCCATCCCCCCACCTGCTCTATCTAGACCGGTTCCCTTGACAAATCGTGCCGATTTCATGGCCGTTGCTCCAGGAACATTCCTCCGGTCTTCCAAATTATAGATAGATAGATAGATAGATAGCCAGGACCGATCTGACAAAGACGGAGAGGCCGTCTGCTATGATGCTATCTGCTGTCTCGCCATGTCGGATGCCATTGATCCAGGAAGGGATCGGTCAACCCCTCCAGACCAATGATGATGACCCATCCATTGCCCACTCTCTCTGATAATAATCCCAGGCCGAAAAGCACCATCCTCGACACCTCAGGAACCAAAATTCCGTCCGCCCAACCCCATTGGTGCAGGAGTCCAAATCACGAGAAAAAACCCCCACCCCGACCCATATCCTACCAATCACCGTTCCTCCCCGCCAAGCCACTACGTAACCAAGCTCCAAGGGGACCTTGAGGCCTGAGGCTGGAGGCGGGCTTGGGTACAGAGTATCTAGTAGTCCCGAGAATTATCCTCCACAAGGTTTGGAGGACGTGGTTCCACCATTGAAAGGAGCATCCAGCTACCTCATGTAGGGTCCTGACCACGGGTACTCCGTACGAACAATGGGATTATTGATCCCACAGAGCCAACCAACCTTGTTTGCCACGGCACCGATCTGCCGGCTGATGTCGGATCCCAGCAACACACGGAGGTCGGGTATCCGAGAATCTGATAAGATTGGCTAGCCAACCAGCTAACTGGCCACAAACCATATCGGCCTCCTCCGACTCCGGATGAGGGCTCCGGATCAAGCTCAGGGGTCGGTCATGATTGTTATCAAGAAAGGGGCGGCCAGAAACTAGATGGGTTCTATGATGAGTAACGCAAACGCCTCGTTGACTACACAGCTACCTATGTACAAAGTCCTTCCCCGCCATTTGTACGGATTACCTAAGGTCGGCGAGTCTGGGGCAACACAATTGGGCACTGGGCATGAAGTGTATTCCCCACCGCGATTATACATCATCCGGGTTCTAGAAACCGTGACGGTGCCGCGTCCAGGGTCGCCCCTGAGATGGTCGGGGTTGTGCTCTACGCCCCCAGCAGATTGGGTGTCTCTCCCAGCGAACGCAGCGCAGACATCAACGCCGTATCGTCTGCTGACAGGACCTGCGGTTCCCCGGGTCCTGGAAGGCCAAAGGGCCGTTTGTCTACCTCGCAAGTGGTCCCAGGCTTGGGGAGTTCGCCAGTCTGGAAATACTGACGGACGACTTTAGCCGTACACACGGATGGTCCGCTTACAGAGCAATGCTACCCCGGCTGTTGTTAGCTGCGTTTTACTTCTTTCGGGTAAGATGAAGAGTAACTCACTCCTACAGAGTTCTGGTGTAGCACGACGGAGTCGGAAAATCCATGAGACATCTTATAAGCGCTAGACTCACGTCAGTTTACCTGTTCTAGAAGGACTGAGATCAGGGGGGTCAACTGACTTGTGTAGCGGCGTTACCGGGTCATAGGTATTCCCAATAAGGAGCAGAGGATGTGATGTCTTGCCTGTGAACGGTCCTTTGGGTGATTATACACGTCAGCCCGCCGTCTGGATGTGATATCATACCATTAGCTTACCATCGAAACGCCAGTTAGGCCGTGTCTTCAATCGAATACAGTTCAGGCGAACCTGGGTCCAAGAGTCCCCAATCGTCTTACTTTGCTCCCGAAGCTCAGCCCAATAGCTTCTGAACTCCTCCTTGGTGATGCCATCGATACTGGGGCCGTCCAGACACAGGATGTTCATTCCTGTCTCGTAGTCACTATCGCCAGGAAGTCGGCATTCAGGCGAAGGGTCATTGGTGTCACAGGAAGACGACGGCACAGTCCAACTCCGAGTCTCGTACTTGTAATCAGCAAACGACGATCCATTCCCGTGCTCAAGATCATTCAGCAGTCGGGCCAAGAGTTCAAAGAAGGTCATCGGCTTGTATAGAGTTTGCAAAACCAACACCTTCACATCGCTGTAGGTTATGATGTCGGGGCCTCTACTGCTGGAAGGTGGCACGGCGATCGGGTTCACCGTAATATTCGACAAGAGTTGTTCATACCGAGACTTGAGATCTTCGACATCATCCCCGAGTGCAAATGGACACGATGCAGGCCCAGCTGTGTGACAGTATTCAAAAAAGCTATCGAAGGCAGGGTCCGCATCTACCAGGTTAGTGAGCCAGTCAGCCGCGTAATAATCATCCGCATCAACCACGCCATCAATGACGGCACGATGTATGCGATGAGGCTGCATTGCCGCAAATGTAGCACCCAGAATAGTGCCGTACGAGAAACCCCAGTACTGAAGCTTCTCCTGTCCTCTATCCCAGCGGTTTCTGGTCCTGATCGCCTCGATGTCCTGTTTTGATCCAGATCGGTCCATGGCCGTCACAAGCTTCTCGGTTTCTCGCTCACGCCACTCACCATGGCGCTCAATGAACGCAACCATATCTGCCACCACCGGAGCGGTGTTCATATGCTGTGCTATCCATTCATGGTCATCCGAAGTCTCAGGGTCTTCTTGGCTACAACTCATGCCAAAAGCCTCGTATCTTGCCCATAGAGTATTGAATGCCCCCTCCGAGCTTCCCAGGATCCCCTCTGCCGCCGACTGCAATAGCCACGCTTTCCTCGCCATAGGGTTCCGAAAGCACGAGAAGTTTGGAGTGGTGTTGTTGATTCCTCTTGGATCGAAGCCAATAACATCGAAATACTTTCCTGTAGTGGAGTCCGCACTTGGCGTTTCTTCGGAATCGACAATGGTTTGGATATCTTTGCCCCCCTTGAGAGCCATGCCCACTCCGGATCCACCGGGGCCACCTAAGGCTACGCTCAGCATTAATTATCCATGAGAATACAGAAACCCATCTTACCTGGATTCAGGAGAACAGGGCCACCATATCGCACATCCGTGATGGGTACTTTGGCAGGTAGCTTGATCACAGCCAAGGCGATCTTCGACCCTTTTCCATCGGTACGGTTCCAGTCCATGGGAAGCTCTAACCGAGCACATTCGTATTCATGGAAGCACGGGTGATAGATCAGTTCCTCGGTAGGGGTAATCTAAAGGGATGTCAGTGGCTGACACTCTAACGAGATCACCAGGATTCCTTCTCACCTGTTCCCATCGAAAGGAGGCATCTTCATCAGAGGGCCCTGAGGGCTGTAGCCCAGAATCCCTGCTCTCAGAGAATGTTTCATACAACTGCCAAATGGCTAGCTTTGCGAGAATAAGCAGGATCACGCATCGGATGAATTTCCCTGTGAAACTCCGCGATGTGGGAGAGACCGTCGGCGGGTCAAGTCGGCGACCGTCTGATTTGGAGTCTGGGTGCATCATAAGAGCACCGTGAGTGGTTCTGGATGCCAGGAATCCAGACTCGAGATGCTATGGGGGATTGGTTACAGACATGAGGACCCGATTAAGTAGAGGTGCTTGTCTGATGTAAGCTGGTGCTGACAGGCACACTGCTAGTTATCTAGTACACTGCAGTCAGCAAGGCTGGGTCGCTCCTTCCATCGGAGCTCCATCGGCGCAGCATCGCGTCCTTTCCTAATCCGGAAGCTGGGCTTATCTCCGCCGGTAAGGCAGCAAGGCGTCATTTCCAGCAGCGAAGAGGCATCTACTATATTTACCACACAACCCTTGAGGTATCTTTGTCTATTCATAAAAAAAATTTCAAACCGATATTGAATGACATCTTAAAATATTCCAAATGATTTATGATATATTTGGGTTGTAGAAGATACCCTCTGCTTAATCCTAACAATTGATACCTTGATCGAATTGAACGAGCTATATATATATTTCCTCTTCCACACTACTACTTAGTTACTATCTACCAAACCCCCCCTCTTTCCCTCTCTCTTCCCACATACATGCGCACACTGACTCGAAAACTATGGAATAATATCATTATATTAAAAACTTCTATCTGCTTGAAATAATACTTCTGCTCTTTCATGATCCTATCCGTTTGGCAGACACTGTGAACATTCCCTCTGGACCCTAAGCAGAGGGTATCTCCCCAATCCTGGCAAGGCCTCGGCCAGGCCCTTGCTTTGCTGTCCCGTTTCCCTGTCGAATATTCCACGCCATACCCAAGAAAGCACCCCGACAGCCAATATGCCGAAGCTTCCCCACCGGACGTGCATCGCCCATGACGCAGAGATACCGTTGGTGGCATCAAACCTACCACACTTATTGTTCGTATCGCAGACAGCCATCCGACGCCATCCAACACCCTTATCGGTAACCCCGCCACGGTAGTATAGCACTTAGTACTTACGCTCGTATCCTGATGCTGCAAGCGCGATGCCTCATTTGTGCCACGAACGATCATAAGCGCTAACGCCCGTTTCTCACTAGGGACCCACGTGATGGCTAACGCTTAACGACTACTAACACCATGAGTCAATCGCGACCTCCATCTATCTTCTACAACTAAAAACCGAAGGGAGAATTCATCGACGGCAATCTATCTCCAATGACCGACATAAAGCCCCCGTTTACCGAGGAGTCGGCGAGGAAGAAGGTCAAGGCGGCGCAGAATCTATGGAACACTCAGTGAGTTTTCTCACTATGCGCTTCTTCTATACGGCATCTAGATTCCAGATCCGAGCTGGATGTTACAAGCTGCTCTCTCATTGCGAAATCAAAATTTGGCTTCCCGTCCTTCGTCATGATCCGTGCATGGCGGCAGGAGAGGCTGAAGACCATCCTGTCCATGTCCCATGAGCTGAACAATCCACCCACCCCTTGCATGCCACTTATGCCGCTCCCCCGATCGTTTCCATTCTCCAGTCCAGCGACCGTGTTGTTAACTTGTTATTTCATCTTCCCCCCCTTTCCACCCGCGGAGAATTCTACGTACCTATAACACTTCTATTTCCCTGCCCCTGTTTCACCATCATGCCTCCTAGCCGCGTGCTCAGCGCTCACAACCGCGTGTAGGGATCCCGTCCGCGTCGCGCAGGCCTACACGCCCACGTGCATCTGGCGCAACCGGACCTCATTCTTCGCTGGATCGGAGGGGATTGTCGAGTTTTTGACGGCCAAGTGGAGGCGCGAGCAGAACTACAAGCTGCGGAAGGAGCTGTTCTCCTTCACGGATGACCGCATCGCGGTGCAGTTCTGGTACGAGTATCAGGATAGAGAGGACGGGTTGCGCTGGAAGCGGTGCTACGGGCTGGAGGACTGGACGTTTGATCGCGAATCAGGGAAGATGTGCAAGCGGATGATGAGTGGGAATGATCTGCTGATTGGGCCGGACGGAAATGGGGAGGGGAGGTGGTTTGTGGATGGCGTGGATGTTGAAGATGTGAAAATTGGAGAGGAGCATTGGTGATGATGGCCGTCCGTCAGATAATTAATTTCGCAGCCCATGCAGATGGATTAGCCTTTACCATGCAGGATATGTCTTCAACCGCTGGGTTGGTTCCAGGGATCCTCGGGAGAAGAAAAAATGAAGAAATGAATGGCTGATTGAGACATGGAGACAGACATGGCCGTCGCGTCGGGTATATGCAGTGCTGCATCCAGAGAGGGGCGGCGGTCGGTGTCAGATTGGCCCCTCGCAACTCAAGACCTAAGTACTTTACTTCCTGCATACCCAACCAGCGACCATCGCAAACCAGGTACTTAGTTTAAATTCAGTTACTGAACCACCGTCGCATAGCCTAGACATGGGCGTGGACGTGGGCGTGGGCATCGTGCCTGGATTTAAGACACCACCCCAAACCTGGTCGAAGGCCCATCCCCTCCCTCGTATGAAATAAAGAATGGCCGGGCATGTTCACCCCTGTCCTCGCAGTCCAAACCAGGAGTGGAAAGGGAAGAGAAGGAAAGTTCCCCCCGGCATTCGACATCCAGGGTGTGGCCGATTCTTCTCACCCTGTCTTCGCGCCACGAAGGGGGGAATGCATGCGGGTCTGTCGGTTGGGTTAAAGATCCTAACCGTCTCGGGCCCATATTGCTTGCTGTCTTCGATGGGCGTGTGTCTGGGGGACAATTGAACGACCATAGTATCGATTGAGGATTCTTGGGGATTCTTTCGAGGTGCCGTATCGACCCCCTAGAAACCCAAGACATCAATTCAGTTTTCCAAACAGAAGCGCTGCAGTATAGTTAGTGACTTGCCTCGGAGGTGGGAATTGTGTAAGACGTGGCATTGAATGCTTAATTTCCAGCCGGAGCATTGCTCGTATGCTAGCACCAGTGCTGGGCTGGATGGAGGGTAGAGGGTAGAGGGTAGACTGGCTGATCGGAGTGGAAGAAACACATTCCAATCATATCACATACAATGCCATCCATTGGGTGGTCCGGCGAATGAGAGGAATTCGGCGCCAAACAAACACAGCTTGTCGGGCCACTCGGACTCATTCCAGCGCCAGACAGCATGCCTGGACGAGATTAGCTGTGCTCACGACGAATCCCCCAGCACGCCTCCTCCTACTCTCTCCTCCTCCTCCTCAGAGCCCAGTTGGGAACGCCTTCGCACACCGTCTTTCCCCCCCTCCCCCCCCCACCAAATGTGCTAATGTGCTACATGGCATTGAGGTCCGACTGTCCACGAGGAAACTACTAACCAGAGACCCTACAGCATTCGACTTTGACAAGTACTACACGTCCCCGTTGACTTCGGCCACTGAGCGTCGGGAAATATCGGTGTACCTACACACAGTCCTCGAGAGTGAATAATTGTTTACTATTGCATTTCTCGGGGTCAGTTATTTTGATTTCTCTCCTCCTTTACTACCCCCTCCTCCCCCTCGTCATCAATTGGAATATTGGAATCTCCAACCTGACAGACCGCAGCTACATACGAACGGAATAATCGACAACTCCCCGCGCGAGATCATCCATATGCCGGCGCGTCCATAAACAACCAGTATCGACCCGCGTCTCTCTCGATCTGGGCGACGGGCCCAATGGATGGGAAACCAGTCACGGTGCTCAGTCCTCAGACCATGCGGACGCCCCTGACGGATGCTACAGCGAGAGTAAACAACTGTCTGACCCCGATGACCGAGCGAGAGGAGCTCCGGCAACGACTCGCGCAGTATCAAATGACATCGCCCGTGCCGATGTCGATTGCGACCAGTCCACTGTCTGCCGCGAAAGGGAGCATAGGGATCAACTGCAGCTCACCCGCACCGGGCTCGCGGCCGGGCACGAATCGGAACTCGGCCGTCTCGGCGGCGTCGCTCGTGTCTAACCAGGGGAAGAGAAAGACGCACGTCGGACCATGGCAGCTCGGGAAGACTCTGGGGAAGGGCGCGAGCGGACGCGTCCGGCTGGCTAAGCATGCAAATACCGGGCAGATCGCGGCTATCAAGATCGTGTCGAAGAAGTCTGCAGCGATTACCCAGAGCGCGAGTATTGCGGGCATGGATAGGAAGGCTGGTCACTTTGCGGGCATAGGTCCCAGACAGATCCCGTCGGGCTTGGAGCGGGAGGTGGTCATCATGAAACTGATCGAGCATCCGAATGTCATCAATCTGTATGATGTGTGGGAGAATCGGGGAGAACTGTTAGTATGATCGCCCTTTGAACAGGGGGTATGGCTGACGATCCTTCTAGGTATCTGGTGCTCGAGTATGTCGAAGGAGGAGAGTTGTTTGATTACGTCTCCAAACATGGACCCCTCCCAGAGGAAGAGGCAGTGCGTCTGTTTAGACAAATAATAGCCGGCCTAGGTTATTGCCATCGGTTCAACATCTGTCACCGGGACCTGAAGCCGGAGAATATTCTGCTAGACGGACAACACAATGTCAAGCTTGCTGACTTCGGGATGGCTGCTCTGCAGCCTATGAATCGCTTGCTCAACACCTCGTGCGGGAGTCCGCATTATGCAGCGCCCGAAATAATCGAGGGGGATATGTACCGGGGTGACAAGGCGGACATATGGAGCTGCGGTATCATCCTGTACGCACTGCTAACCGGTTTCCTCCCCTTTGATGGAGGGGATCTGCCGACCACGCTTCGTCTCGTGAAGAACGGGAGGTTCGAAATTCCCCCAGAGGTCAGTGATGAAGCTGCACATCTCATCATGTGCATTTTGGAGAAACGGCCAGAGTACCGGATTAACATGCGAGAGATATGGCAACATCCCCTCCTGAAGAAATATGAGGGGTTCCATCAAGCATTGGCAACACATTACGTGGGCCCTGCGCCGCCGCTGTCTGTTCAGGATTGCGGCCCCCCTATCATCAGTAGGCAGGATATTGATTTCGATCTCTTGCGAAATCTTCAAACACTCTGGCATGATGCTGGACCGGATGCAATCATTCAAAAGATATTGAGCCCTGAGTAAGTGAAACCACCCCTTTACACATTGATAGTCATCGGTGGGACCAAAGCTGATACCCTGCGTGACGTCAGTCCAACCCATGAACGGATGTTTTACAATGCGTTGGTCAAATTTAGAAACGAGCAGCTTGAGAACTACCAAGGTCCGGTCGCGCTGGCATACTCAGCGAGCGACTACCATCATATCTCGGCTCCGGACCGTACACCCAACAGGCGGACGCCTCGGGTGAAGAGCAGCGTGAAGAAGTGGACGCCCATTCCAGTCGTGAAAGAGACCGGCATACGAGCGAAGCATCCTGCGGAGCCTAAGTCTTGTAACACGACAAGAAGCTACGATCCGTTTAGATCCCCGCAGGACAAATATGCCGAGAAAGAAGCCAAGTACGCCCAGATCACAATCTACCGAAACGGGGTCATCGAGAAAATCAAGGAGACGACACCTGGAGTTCCACGGCCACCCATGCCCGTTGTCAAGGATGACCCTGATCAGGACGAACTCGGATGTCCGCCCAGCTCCCCGTTTTTGTTGATGCGCGATAAGAAGGTGAAGATGCAGTCGATGAAATCCTTCCAGTCAAAAAGCTCCATAGGATCTCGTCGCGCGCTGCATGGCACGTCAACACCTCGTTCCGCTAGCTACAGACGAAACGTATGCTTCCGCCATTCCCGCAACCGTTCCCAGGGCTCAGTCTCGGTGAAGGGAAGGGCGGCCCGCTCCAGAGCCCACATGATGAAGCCTGATTCCAGCGACAGCAGCCTTATAAGTGAGTACGAGGACGATCCTTTCTCAGATGCACCGGGAAGCCCTATACTGCCCGCCCAACCGGTGGTTGTACGTGGGGCCGGAGTGACGATCAAAAACTGTCCTCAGATGAAGAGGGTGCGGAATTCCGATATCATCTGGAAGGATGATGCACGGAAGGTATCCCATGAACTTAGCAAGATATGTGAGGAGGCCTTCAATGGCAGTTCGATTTCAACCAACTGCACCACGAGCACCTGCATCGGTTCCGAGACGCCTGCAACATCAATGTCGATAGCTAGTCCCGAGGGCTCGCAGGATCAGCTCGCTCCAAACACCGCCACTAACCCTAAGCCGCGCCCTCCGTCGGCAGCATCTCCGAAGTCTTATACAGCCGCAGAGTTACTGGAAACAAGACGCAGATTGATTGAACTTTCCACTCAAAACGGATCTGAGAATATCCCCGGTTACCTTGAGCCTGTGATCGGGCATTTTGATCGGCTGATCGAGCAAGACGAACAGAGAAGGCTCGGACGGAACACCCCTTCGCGGAAAGGCGATACCCCGAATCCAAGCCCACTTGCTCAGCCTTCGAAGGACCCAGAACCGCGCCAAAGAGCATCCGAGGACCTCAGTGCATCGTTAGACAGTCGCAACAAGGGCAAAGCGGCCTTGGACGTGCAAAGAGCCTCTTCCCAACCCAGCATCCCCAATTTCTCGGGCCGCATCAGTCGCGAAGGAAGTGGAAAGCGAACAGTTCGCATGGTACCTCATAGTTCCGTGCAGTCCATGGAGCCAACCAAGCATCTGCACGTCCGGAAAAACCGCAATGGCATCCCGAATGACACCGCAGAATTCCCTCACGGCTACAACGGCCAGACCGGCAGTGAACCATCTGTCGCGCCTACCCGCAAGTTTGCCTCGGTGAACTCTCGCCAGAGTCGAATTCCCTGCGAGCTGGACCCCATTGCAGAAAACCCGGGGTCTCCACGGCGCAGTGGTACTCGCACCTCTGAGCATAAGAAGTGGTCATGGTTCCCGAACAGGTCCCAGCCGTCGGCAGAGAAGGCAGCGAGGATATCGATGGACGCGAGGCCAATACAGCCCAGCTCCACGACGGTGATCGTTCATCCGGCAGAAGATGCAGCAGAGCCCCCGGCAGAGGAGAACGCGAAGAGCCAGACACGCTCGCCTTCCAAGCCCAAGGGCGGGTTCTTTAGAAGACTGATCCATCGAAGATCCAGTAAAGATTCTCGGAATCAAGGGCCTGGTCAGTCCCACCCCATTTTATCCATCTATCACTCCGAAACCACCCCAGGTAGCTGACCATAACCCACAGAGCCCAACAGCACAGAAACCAACCCCTTACTCAGCCACTCCGAAGGCAGCGCCCAATCATTCGATACAGATATCACCGAAAAGCCCCTCCCAGAACGACCCCGGAACGACGGCAAGAGCCAGAACTGGTTTGCTCGTGTGTTCCAAATCAAGCCCGCCACTCGAGTAGTCGCTCTCAACACATCAACGACCAAAGCCCGGAAGGACGTCCACAAGATCCTCAAGGAGTGGAAGAAGTATGGCATGGAAGAAGTCTTCCTAGATAAGGACCGCCGCATCATCTATGGCAGTGTCGCCGAAGCAAACTGTAAGCCATCCACTCCCATCCGTCTATCCACACCCAGCAAGACAAGCTAACTTAACACCCTTTCAGTCCTTCGTCTCCGCCCCGTCCAATTCTCCGCCGAATTTTGTACGTACCTCGAACGCGGCCGACAGGAGAACCTCAGCCTCGTCCGCTTCCGACAAGAGCGAGGCGCCGCGTCCTCGTTCAACAAGGTCGTCGACACGCTGTACCTGGTCATGAAGCAGCGGAACATGATCGTTGAAGACCCGGCCCGTGCAAAGGAAATGGCTAGGATCTTGGATGCTTTTCCGGATTCTTGAATAATCACCTTCTCCTCCATTTGTTTCCGATATCTTTCGATGTCCTTTTTTTTTGCATCCAGCCATAACTGACATAAAACACTACCTGTCGGTGTCCTTCTTGCTTTTTCTTTCTTGATCTTGTTCTGGAAACATAATCACTCATCTGGACTGCGCTCCACTTGATCTAGTCTTCGGTAGTACTCTACTCTACTCTACATCCATCGTTGTTGCATATATCCGCGTGAAAAAAATGATTGGATGGCCGGATTGATGGATACTAGGGATTCTGGCTTGGTTGTTTTCTGATTCTTCGGTTCTCACTCATACACAGTCATACACCCACACTCATACTCACACTCACACTCACACTCACACTCGCTCATCAGGTCCCTTGATATTTTCTGGAATCGGTTGGTTGCAATACTGAATGCTCTGGTCTCAGCCCCCTCTCAAACTAAATAAACCCAGCCCATTCCCCTTTTCCCTCCCTTTTCTCTGCTCTGTCTAAAACCCACCAACTAACCACCTCACCCATCAAACTATTTCCTTTTGTCATCTCACACCCATTCATCGTTTGTGAAAACGACTCACTCACTACATTACATCTCATGCCAGCGTGCTTTATTTACTCCCTTCCTTCCTACCTACTATACCTACCTACCACCTTCATTTTACTCATTTCTTTTTCCCTTGTCTGTCCCTTTCCATTCCTTTCACCATTCCCCCCAAAAAACCCCCACTCGTTAAAACTGTTCCTTTCCCATGTTATTGATTTACCCACCTACCACTCACTAAGCGACGCATCCATCCCTTCCCCCTTCCCTGTATCCATCCATCAACCAACAACCAATCAACTCACCGAGGAACTTACCAACCAACCCCCATAACCTACTCTTTCCTCCCTACCCACTGCATACATACACCCTCCTCCTCCTCCTCCCCCTATCCATCAGACCATCCTATTATCCTTTCCTTTCCTTTCTCCTTTCCTTTCCTTTCATTTCCTTTTGCTTTCTTTCTCCTTCATCTTCACTTTCCTCCCTCATTTCTGTGAGCCAGCTAGTTAGTCAGTCAGTCAGTCAGTCAGTCAGTCAGTCAGTCAGTCAGTCATCCAATTGCCAGTTAATTTAATCTGTTACTTAAAGTAGTACAACCAGTCACTCGAGTAGTGATATAATAATCTGTTACTCACGTGATCCAGTCAAGTCTGCTCTAGTTAGTCCTCATCCTTCATGTATCTAATGTCTTCTGTCTACTAGATAGATAGATAGGGTTAGGATCTTATTGCCAGTACAGAATCTTATTCCTTGATCCTTTTTCTTTTACTTTTTCTTTTTCTTTTTCATCATCTTATTCTTTGTCCTTCTTTCTGGATGTTGATTGATTGTTCCTATCTGCATGCCTACCTACCCACATACCTACCTACCCGCCTACCTACCTACCTACCTACCTACCCACCCACCTACCTACCCACCCACCTACCTACCCACCCACCTATCGTCATTTCATACGTCTCATCTCCCCATCTACCTTCTACAAACTCACTCAATCAACCTGCAACCTGCTCACCCGTCAACCCAACCCAACCCAACCCAACCCCTCCCTATATAGATCTATTTGCCGGTGAGATAATAATTTGCTATGATTGGATGCGAGCACGAATCTGCAGGCTGCAGATAGATGAAAGAGCAAAGCAGAGCAGCAGGCATTACTCAGCACATCGAGTGAGGAGTGAGAAGTGTCCTAAGAACAAGAATCCCAAAATGCAACTCGGATCATGCTTCCATCCATCCATCCATCCATCCTGCATGTCTATGTCATAAGCATAGGTAGTTATGTAGAGATCGAGCTGACTGAGGGTTGAATCCAAATCACGTGTCGTCTTACTTAGCTAGCTAGCTAGCCTTTGCCCTACTATTACGAGCCTGAGGCAAGCAAGGATGGGCTATAGACCGGCCGCTACTAATTAGATACTTATAGAGTAAGCACCCCAGTAGATAGATAGCTCACAGCTACCTAGGTGGGCAGGTAGGTAGGTGTCCGACTAACTCCTTGATCAATAGACAAGACTCAGACGCAGACTCAGATAAGAGACACAATACCAAGCTGTAGCTATATAGATAGATAGATAGATAGATGGCATCAGATAGCATCGGACTAATATAATATGCACAATGCAACATACACAATACCAAAAATAAGGCGAACAGAGAGATGTAAATAAACACGCAGTCAACACAACACGATGAGATTGCAATTCATAAAAAAGTTGATCAGACAGCCTCCCAGGTTTTTAAAAACAAAAGAAAGTAAACATAAGAAAAAAAGAGAAAAAAACAGGAACAGAATGACAAACAGAAAAGTAAGTAAAGAAGTATGACCCCCTTTTCGCAAATGATGGCAAAACCAGTCTCAAAGGCAATTAACATTTAGGCATGAACGCAAGACACACAGCCACCCGAAAGATAGTGAAACACTCAAGAAAGACAAAGCCACACCGCCAATAGCATTGAAAAGCCTCATCACACATGGTCCTCAAGGTATTTGAAATGAAAATGCAGCAGAACCCCACACCAATGATTCGATCCGTGATGGCTGACGCGTAAGGCCGCCATTTCCAACAGGAGGAGCTTCGGAATAAAGCCCTGCGCCCAGGGAGTCCCAGTCGAGCCTTCATCACGCGAAGTAAACACAGACCTCTCACTGAATGGGCATGTGAAAGCGGACTCGACACCTCGACATACATGAGGCTCAGACTGGGCGTGGGCGTGAATAAAGAAACCGACAAGAAGAAAAATCTCATTAGTAGGTCGCCCCAGATAATTTATAAAGCCGTTATGATGTCTCTCGGAAAGGGAAATGGCGTAGATAAAAATAAGAACACAGTAGGAGTCGTCGACTGTCCACGCGCAGCGGTGGTGGTTCGATAAGAGCCGCATTGTTCACAATCCGCATACGCCGTTGACCGTATGTGATAGCCAAACCAAGACAGCAATCTCGTACTTAATCATGCAGCTCGTAACTCTCTTGCTTCTCGTTTCCATGGCCTCGTAATCGAATTATCACGGAAAGGATTCACCTTTCTTTTCCATTGTACCCCCCATTTCTATGAAAACATCATTTTGAGTCAAAGCATTGCGTCGTCCACCAAATCTCATCATAAATGACCATCGAAGCTCGGATTCGGTATTAGATGATGTCGGAAGTCCTGTCTAGATTTCCCTTGAAATCGTCATGCGTTGCACTTGATCAAGCCGGCATTCTTTGGGAGTAGCACCCGCAGAGAATTTCGTTTCCCTTGCCCCGTCCCGTTTGCGTTTTTCGTACTGTGACAGGCACAAGACACTCGAACCCAAACGTCACGTTGAAAAATGTGTGACCAGCACACGAGCCTTCCGCATCAACCAACAACGAATTCAAACCTAATACTTCCTGCTCCGTGCCCACCTCTTCCAGATCTATCCTCGTCATCCACCCTGGTCCCGATCATGAGCGACCCTTCTGACCGGACAACCAACTATTCCCCGAATTATTATTGGGGCCCCCGGCGGTTCAATGCGTTGAGCATATCACTGTCGGTGCTAGAGCGACCTTGACCATCTGCAGAGCGATCCCCGGAGCGAGCATCTCCAGAACGAGCTTGGCCATCTGCGGGCGGCTGGCCCGGGTTATCTCCCGGGTTCAACATGTCACGCACATTGAGCCCACCGCGGGAAGAACCACCCGGAGTGAATGTGGGGGGAGGGGTCATTGCGCCTTGACTGGGATGCATGGGAGGATACGGGGAGCTATGAGGCGACGACGAATGGCGGCTATCGTAAGCGTAGGCCGATTGTGGCGAGGGACGCCGATCGTGTTGTTGAGGCGGCGGGTAGTAAGGCATTGGAGCAGGGTGCGCCTGGTATCCGGAAGCAGATGTTGTGGGTGTAACCGGTGCGAGGTTTGTGGGATCAGGGTACTCAAATCCGGAGCCAGATCCTCGGCGACCAATGGGCCTCTGCAAATCGAAATAATGAATAAAGGAAGATCCAAAGAGGAACTCGCGACTTACATGATCCTGCGGGGGCGGAGGCGCGTGTCCATAGGGATGCTGATACAATCCTTGCGGGGGCGGGAGTGTCTCTGGCTGCTGTTGAGGTGGGAGAGGTTGGCCATGGGCACCGTAAAGCGTCACTGGGGGTCCACCGGCGCGTCCGGGATTCTGTACGTTCCGGAGATGTGGGTAGGCGGCGTGAGCAGGTACGAAGGCCTGCGCCTGGGACGAGACGGGCGTAAACATGCACTCTTGGTTAAAGCGGATACAGTTGCTGCAGCGTCCATCCGTGGAGCTTTCGAATCCGGAGCAGCGGATCTACCCGTTGAAAACATCATATGTTAGCCCCAAACCATTACAATACGACCCGAAAGCCAAATAACCGGTTCCAATCTCGAAACATACCTTGCGTCTCCGGCAATAGCGACAGGCGATAGCAGTCCGCTGACGGGGAGCAGCAGCTTGATAGACTACTTGAGGTGGCGGAGGGGGCTGGGCATATACATCTGGGGCGCGGTAAGCACCCGGGTGGGGGAGACGGTATGGGTCCTGTGGACCCTGGACGTGTGGGTGCATCGCCATGTTGGAGGGGGGAGGGTATTGTGATGGAGGCGCAGGCGGGTATTGCGACGGAGGCTGGTAATGGTGGTCCGGGGCAGGAGCATATGAAGCGGGAGGATACTAGACGCGAAAGAAATCGCGAGTTAGCCAATGCTCAGTTGACAATCGCGAGGCAACGAACACGCCATGAGGGGACGACAACAAAAACAAGAAAACAAAAGATAACAAATGGGGGGGGGGGTGTAATGGCGACAGTCGACCACAGCCGGGGGAAACGCGCATTGAATCAAGGGCAGAAAACAGAGCAATGGAACGAACAGATGCGAAATCAAGGAAGCAATCCACCCACGTACCTGATATTGAGAGGCCGGCGGGTATTGAGCAGGCGAGTTCTCCTCAGGTTGACTTGTGCTCCATTGAGGCGGCGGCGGATACTGACCCTGTCGACTAGGGTCGTTGTACGGACCCGGACGATTGGGGTCGTTGTTGTACGGACCTGGCCGGTTGGGGTCGTTGTACTGGCCCTGCCGATTGGGGTCGTTGTGGTCGTTGGGGTTGCCGGACATTTGTAGAGCGAGCGCGACGTGCTGCTTATAAGGCGGGAACGGGAAATGGGGGGAGCGAGAGGACAGACGCAGGATGATGCGAGTCGAAAGTCACGTCCGGTGGGTCGGTTGGCCAAGGACTGAGGCCAGCAGGGGTGGTCTTCCTTTGAGAGGCGGCCCGGACGGCAAAGCGTCGAAGTATGTATGTATGCGGGCGTATGGGAGGAGGGAATTGGATGGATGGGAAGGAAGACGGACGTATGTCGGTAGGTTGAGAGGAAGGTAGGCAGGTAGTAGGTAGGTAGTAGGTAGGTAGCAGGTAGGTATGCTGCCCGTATGTATGGCTCAAGGAATGGACGGCCGTATGTATGTAAGTAGTATGTAAGTATGTATGTATGTACGTACGAAGGCGAGCGTGTGCAAGGCGACCAGGATGAGTTGATGCGGAGTTGCCGGTCAGAGAGTAGACCAATTCAAAAACAGTTCCAGCTCCCGTCGGGTGATTTGCGAAGCTAGCATAGCCTCGTGGTCACGCTGAGCCGGACGGCGGAGGCACAAGGAAGGATGGCAGGCCCAAGAGGATCTAATCCGGAGATGGACGAAGCCGACGAGGGAAAGACAGACCAGGGGGGAGAGAGGGAGGGGAGGGGAGGGGGAGGGGGGGGGTTGGAGGGGTGTGTGAGAGATGTTTGTGTGCGAGGGTGAGGGAGTGAGTAAGTATGGTATGGGGGGTGGGATGTGTGGGAGAGGAGGCGGTGGAGGGAAGAAAAGGCGAAGAAGAAGTCGAGGTGGTCAAGTTTAGCAAGGGTGTCGGCGAAGGATAGGTAGAAAGTAAGTAGCAGCAGCAGCAGCAGTAGCAGCAGTCGCCGTAGCAAGTCGCGGTAGTAAGGGGGTGGGCAGGTAAAAAATTAAATAAATATTTCCAAAAAGAAAAACAGAAGGGAAAAAAGGGACAAAGAGAAGGCCAAAGACCTAAAAAAATAAAATAATTCGAAATTGGAATTGGGAAAAAAGAAAAAAACCAAAAATGGAAAAATGGAAAAAGGAAAAACAGAAAAGAAAAAGAAAAAAAAAAAGGAAAAGAGAGAGCCTCGGGGATTTCAGTTATGACGTGAGCGTTGGACTCGGAGGGGCTCTACGGCGTGTACTAATGCCCGTAATATCAGGCACCGGAAGATCAAACCGGCATTGGCCTCTCAGACAGGGACGGACTGGAGATCACACAACGAAAAATCCAGAAGCCAGGGCTATGAAATCTCTATCTACTTACTGCGTACAGAGGAAGGGGCATGTGAAAGAAAAAAAAAACGAAAAAAGGTACTCCGCGGTAATAAAAAACAGTGGTGGGAGCCAGCAAGCGAGAAGGAATAATAGTGTCCCCAAGGCCTAGCAGTAGCGCGATGCAAGTGTCAGTTATGATCAAACACCTAGAGAACAGGGTCGGGCCTGTTGCCGGGGTGGCTGTAAGTCAAGATCCTGGGATCTGGGACTGGGAGGTGCAAGTGCAACCCGGGCCAGGATGGACGTGCACGCACATCACGCATATCCATCCTTGGAAGTTATCCTTCTCTGGATGCATTCCCAACTGGCGGTCCACCCTCAGTCGACCTGGATCATGGTGTCTGCCTGCACTCTGCAGGGGTGGGTAGAGCCGACAGACCACATCCGGGAAGGAGTGATGATATACCTTCAGAGTCGGATTACGGCACGGATCGAACGGTTGGTTGCAGGTCAGAGATAAGATCGCGAAGGGAAGGAGGTGAAGAGCCAGCCAGCACAGAGGCTGTCTGAGCTTATACATGCATACTTTTACATACATACATAGTACATACTGCTAGGGAACTGGCGGAGGGCACCAAGAGATTGAACGATACGGAGGGACCGATTCGGGCTACGGAGAAGCTATGGTGGACCTACGGCTAGATAGACGACAACGGTAGTTGATGATTAGTAGACACACAGTCAGTGATTAGTGATTCATGATTAAATTAATCGATATCTGATTACTTCGTCTCTTCCTTCGATCCAGTTCCTTCTAGAATAAATTAGCTGTTACGGCGTACTTACTAGGTGATGATAAGTAAGCGGTAATAAATGAATTGTTTGGGTCGCCGACTCGCCGGTCCGTCCGGGAGGCAAAAAAAAGAAAGAAAAAAAGAGAAGAGGGAAAACGGTTGGGTCAAGCGCGTCAAAACGACACGAGACGCAGGGTGCGAGTCCCACGGCTGGCGGAAAGCGGAAAGGCGGGAAGATTCGCGATGGGGATTCCCAGAGAAAGCAGCTGCTCGTTCTTTGGGTCGGCTGGGTCCCTGGATACGATGCGGGTACTCCGTACCATCACTGATCACATAGATAGATTATTATTATAGATACCTCTCAGTGTGCTCTTCTTATGATACTAGATACGTATTGACTTGGAGCTTAGAGGCGGAGGCGATTCCGCACCACGCACCACGCACCGCGACTAGTCTAGCTGGGACCTTGGTCTCCCTTGCCCAGCCCGGCTGGGGCCCATCATTGGCCCGTCTGGCTGGAGAAAACACGCGGGCAATTAATTTGCTGTCGGTGCTAGAATCACCATGGAACCCAGCTCCAGCACCGGGCAATAATATTAATATAAATTTGGTTGGCAGAATTAGGCAAGGTCGATGGATTGGTCTGATTGGCAAGATGGGAACCGTGCGAAGGGTGATTCTCGGTACTTCCGAGTACTGGCTGGTGAGCAGTATGTACATACGGTACTGAACGGAGTATCAAGATATATCCATTCTGAGGAAAGTGACTTGTGCTCCGTATCTACCCCGTACATGACTGGGAGGACGCAGGGCGGAAGGGAAAGAGAGGGGGTTGGTTGGTTAGCAAGGGGGGGGGGGGGGGGGGAAGGGAAGAAAAAAAAACCATGCGGATGGAGGAGCGGTCATGGAAAGGAAGTAGCGTAGAAGAACGGTCCGCAGGCATGGTGGACCCTGTCCAACACGCCAGCGACCCATAGACATGGACGGGGACTCACCTAAGACGCAGCTAAAAGTATTCATGGTTCCATGGGGATCAGCTGAATCGCTGTAAGGCCCTCGGGTTGGGCGTTTGGCAGGCCCCGGCGGCCACACGAACAGCGACTACTGTCGAGTCTAGAGCCTGAAGAGGGGCGTCAGCTTGCCAGAGGGCGCAAGTGACGATTGATGACGGAGGGAGGGTACGCCGGGACGGGTAAAGGCGCCGTGACGGAACTCCACCGACCGCTTCAAGTCCTTCCGTCTCCAGTTTGGGGGCCGATTTTGTGTTTTTCGTTCTGGTATTATTATTTTTCTGGTTGGATATTTTGATTTTATTTTTTCTTTTGGTCTGTCGCTGCCCGGCCCTGGAAAGTGAAAAAGTGGGTGGTATCGTATTCGGTATGGGTAGGTACTATTGCCAGCAAACCGCCTCTGCTGCGTGGGAAGGATGGAAAGCACAGTTGATATTTCGCACTTTCTTTCGCCTATGGATTCATTTCCTTGAGTCATCAAATGCCAATGCTGCGTGTGATTTACATGGCTATGGTTGAGTGGGCATTGAGCTATCCCAGTTCCAGCACTTGTGCCGGGGCTTTGTGCTTTGGCCTGGTACCAAGATACGGGAGGATGGAACTGCCCGTCTGCCGCAGGAGGTACCGTACCTTACGTGGTTAACAGTACCGTCACAGTACTTACTCCGCCTGTCTGCGGATTACGTAGAATACGAGATACCAATGCCTGGGCTGCTTTTGCAGTAGACCCAAAGTCGGCCACGCCATGGGTTTTCTCCCCATACTGTTAGATACTGGTGGTAGATCTGGTTGGTAAAGAGACTTTTTAACCTAAAAGAAACTAACTAGGCCTGAAAAGAAGTACCGAGCAATTCCTGGAGATTATTTCCATTAGTCAATGGATGCACAGCAGCGCTTGACTGTCAGGATTTAGTGTATGCCACGCACGTTATGCCAGGCCAGCAGAGACGATGCTAGTAGTGTGATAAGTGCTTATTAATTCCTGCTCCTCCAGTCCTTAATCATGTATGTGCCTCGTACTCCGTAGCATCTGCGATAATAATTTCAGTGTGCGCCCTCGCAAGTCTCGAACGCGCGGAGGTATTTTTGATACAGCGGGCGTGGCTGGCTCCTTCCACTGATCGCGGCGACACCAAGGCTGAGTTCGGGGAAGGGACAGGCTGGCTCCACCCGGGTAATGCCCGAATCTTTAAAAAGAGAGGGGCTGACGGCCCGTGGATGGCAAAAGCTCGTTGGAGCCCTAGTCTACCCACTGCACATCACTAGTCAGTCCTTCATTATGCTTGCAGAAGATTAATCATCACGGTTGCCGGCTCTGATGCAGACACGCACTTCCTACTACTACTAACCTGGTACCTTAGCTGCTATGTACATGGGGACATGGGACATGGTACCTCCACGGAGACCTCGGCCCGCTAATAGATTGAGTCTGGTTACACTGCTTGGTGACAGAAGGGACGATGCACCAGGCACTGACTAGCAAGACAAGAACCGGAGAAACAACGAAGGAGCGGAGAAGGGGGAATCAGAGGAATCCAGTCTCGCTTTCTTTGACTCTCTCAGTCTCTAGTCTCGTCTCTGTACCCGGAATCCTCAACATATTTGCAGACCAGACTAGGCTTTTTTTTTTTTTTTTTTCTTTTCTTCTTCATCCTGTTTCCCGGTTCTCCATCCGTGATGGGGCAGCCCATTAGGAAGGTGGTTCTGCATTCTATTTGTTTCCCACGACCCGAGTCCGTGGGCGGTATTTCCTCGAACCATGGTTGTTTGTCCGCTTAGTGCACCAGAACTCGGACCAGCGCATCCTTTCGGGCTCCTACATTTTCCCCTTACCAAGCGGAACGAGGCCTCGAACCAGCCCACCCACCATTTCTCTTCGTGTTGCTTGCTGCTGCTGTTATTGCGATTGTCGGGTCCGGTACCTCCTCCTTACTTGCCCGTGATCCGATGACCTGGGCGGATAGTACCGAAAGTCAAGAAAGGGGACCGACTACTGTCTGTTACCAAGTAGGCAGAACAAAGAAAACAAGCCGATCATCTATCATCACCTGTAATCATCCTCATGCAAGATGATCAAGTAGGCAGGTGTCTAGCAGTCGAACAAGAGTTTAATCAACGAGTATTATCCATGATTACTGCCCTGATCAGTTTGCGCGCAAGCGAGGACGACTGTAACCCTTACTTACTAGCTTGGCTGCATCCTCTCCAGGTTGTCGTTTGCTGCTGCTGCTGCTGCTGCTT